TGGAGTCCGAGGGTTTTAGAGAATGACAATACAATTTGATGAAAGGGTTATGATAAATATTGAGATTTAATGTGCGTATCAAATTTATTAACTTTGGTGGATCATTTGAATAGTCTCACGTTTCAAAGAGGACGAGCTTATGTCGGCAACTATGAAACGTAATAAGAAAATGCGTAGGTACGATCTTTGGTCAAGCACTTCGAACGCATTTAATAATTCTCATGAAAAACCAGTTAATAAATTTAGTATGTGTAAAGATAAATTAATTACTATTGTTTTGTTATTTTCTTCTCGGATTAAATAATTCCAAATTATTGGAATTAAAATGTATCACCTACTTTATAATGTTTTTGCGGAATTGAAATGAATAAGACTGACAAGTTTTTCTTTCTGGATGTTTGAGAGACTGGTGGTCTATTGCTTCATTTGATTCTTGGCTTGAAGAGTGGAATGTCCCTATTTTATAGCTTTTTACGGCTTTTTATATGAAATCTATGATCTATATATGTCACCAAAATGTAAGAATTGACCACCAGGGCTCTCATCTTTATTGAAACGAAAATTATAAGCAGGGATAATATATTACATTGGTTATGGTACATTTAATTTTTCTTAGGGATACTGTTACTTAATACATTGTCTTTGTAGATTAATTTACAGTGTTTACATTTATGATACAGATATTAATCTTAAACTGAACAAGTGCATACATTGTATTAATTACATTAGTGATTATGCTATGATATCAATTTAAGATAATTATTTTGTTTTGTGATAAACATTGCGAATAATATTAAATTTGAGCGATGAACGGTATCACAACGTGTAAAATAATATTTTTAATTTATAAAAATAATTAGTAAACTTACTATAAGACATTGCTCCATTAAAGTGTTGAGCTGTTCCTATAAACATAAATGATATATTGTAATATTAGTGATATGTTGTTATACTATTCTATATTATTCAAAATAATAAGTACACGATCACTAAGTTCTAAAAGAAGTTGATTGTTCATATTTGATAAACATAACATTCGTTCTTTATACATATTTCTTTCATGTTGCATATTTTGTATATCGTTGCATATTTTAATCTCAGAATTACTTTTAATCAAATTGTTACATCTAAAAATAGATAAATAGAAAAATATACTGTAGTGTAGTCAGTGTAATAATAAGGAGGGTCATAGAAAAAAGTCTAAATTTTGATATTATTACTAATTATTAAAAAATGATGTGTTACCATTTAAAAAAACAAAGTTGACGCCCTTACACCCAAAGAAAAACCTCAATCAAAATTGAAAGAGAAATTTTATCAAGGGTTTATGATAATGTTTTATTAATACGAACAAAATAACTATTCTTATAAATAATTATTGTTCAAGACAAGAAAAAAAAATATCATATTGATAAATATATCATTGATTCAATAGTAATGATATATTTATCAAATTGAACAATGAATTTATTATATAGATCGAGGTTTTTCTCTGGGTGTACGAGGCATAAGGGATGAACTTAAAAAGTATTAAATAGTTAATAATTCAAGAATAATGTGTAACTAAAGATATTAATAAAAAAAAATGTTTTAATTATTATTATTCTGTAAGTAATTGAGTGGGTTATGATAAAAAAATCACCCTGTATAGCAACATGTTGCCCAATAAATTGGAATATTATAGACTGGTAGTAGCACACACAAATAGAGTAAAAAAATTAATAAATTACCAAGTACAATTATTACCTTGTTTACAAAATTGTTTGTAGTTGATAAATATTTTCATATCAAACCTAATTCGAGAATAAATACTTTAAAAATATTAGAAATAAATGATTTTAATTGTCTGTATGGAGAAAGCTGGTTAAACATCCTTCGGATCTCTGTCAAAAATACAAAAACCCGAAGACGGGTCACTCGGTTTTTTGTTTTTTACTACCGCTGATATAACACAGCAATTTCTTTCATACGGGTTACTTGAAAACTCGAGTACCATTTGCCTGGACTCGTCTCGGAACTTTGTCAAAAGTACAAAAATATATATATGCACATTTTAGGTCTACAGATGTAATAGACGGGTCAACCGATTATATATTGTTTACAGCTGCTGAAATAATCCAGCAATTTGAATACCAGAAATTATTTTAAGTTTTATGTATGATTAACGAATTTTATTTTGTAATTTTGTTCTGCTTTTATTATAAGTAGTAAAATTAACATGTTTTATGGTAATAATATAACAAATATTTAGAATAAGTGGCCCTCTCTCTCTCTGTTGGTAAGTAATATAAGGTGGTAACTGAGCGGTAACCAAATACTGGTATCCGATTAGAAATTGCTAACTTCATACACATAAGAAAAAGTATTTTGAATGAAAGAAATGAACGACAAAATCTAACTATTATATAATAATAAATATAATATTGCTCAATAATACACTAATATGACTAAGCTAATAAGAAAAGCATAAACCCATTCTAAATATGCAACTGCAAGATATGATACAAAAATTGACTTACGAAGAAGATGATGGACAATTTAAATTATGGTAGCCTAAATTCTCATTGCTATCAGAATCATCTGCATTTAAGATTTCCGAATTGCATATTTTTTTACTTCTAGTGTTTTTATTCTAATAGGCAAAAATATAAAAATGTTAATTGATGCAATTTTTATATAAATTACTTCGTATATTTTTATATGTAAAATTCAATATTAACACACGTTTTTTTTTACTTAATTCTTGTTTATAAAATGGTTTTTACTACTCTCAAGTAAAGAAAATTAAATTAAAAATCTTTAATATATATTCGTTAATTAAATATTGTTTTAATGGAGTATTTAATACTAAAACCTCAACATATTTTAACAGGAAAGTCATACGACCCCTTCTCTTTTATTTGTCTCTATACTTATACACTATTGTTTTTACAAATTAAGGTTGGTTGAAAATTTCAGCTTAAAAGAATTATAATCTCTATTAATTTAAAAATAAAATTGCGCGTATAACAAAAAATATGACATGAAGACTTTTATATTTTCTGTAAGAAAATACATGTAATATCCATTTAAAATTATTTTATTATTTAAAAACATTTTTTGTTTATTAGAAATCAAAGATTTTTCAATGGCAATTACACAATTGGGGGAATACATCTCCTAAAGTTTATTCTCTATTTATACTACCAAATATTATTATAATATACAAAAATGTAACCAATTTTGTTCTAAATATCTATCTAACATTTTTAAAATAATTAATCGTCAATTAATTGATTTTCAACTTTATTTTACATAAATTTGTTTCCCATAAATTCATTACAATTGATGTAAGTAAAACATTTGAATATTCAAAAGTCAAGAATATAATTGTATTATTATGTCACTATAATTAATTAATAAATATCATGACTAATGTTTGCATGACTTTCCAGTTTCTAAGTTATTAAAAATAATATTTATAAAAATGATCAAATATAAAAAAAACATGCTTAGTCTTTTCATTTCATTGCTTTTACACAACACATTGAATTTAAAAATGTAATAGTTACATTATTTATGTTTATTATATTTTATTCTTAATCAATTAATTTAACAATTTTATAAGTATAAAAAATATGTAGTTATTCAATAAAATGACTTACTATATTTTTATAATATGTCATATTTTGTGTTCTATCAATTATTTATTTAGAAATCTATTTCTATAAATTTAAAAAATATTTTTGTTTCGAGACTTACAGATTGTATTTTTAAATTTGAATTGTTGTTAGTAATATAGTCAATAAAAAAAATATTAAACGTTGCTATGAAAAATAAATTTTTTATAGAGTATTTTGTTAATAGAAAATATAAATTGATCTCCTAACATTTTGTTCTGCAACGTACTTTCCCGCTAGGATCCTAACAGTTGGCTAAGCTGTACCTTAACGAGGCAACGCTGGCCCTATATAATTTATATCCCACTAGAAGGGCAATTAGCGATTTCGTGACCAATAAATATAGACTTTCAACTAACAACGATAACAAGCATTTATTTCTATTTAATAGTATATTTAAATATAACCTGACTGGATCTCTAGAGATGTTGTGGTATCCAAGTTAGGTGAGCGACAGCGGCGAGCGTACACAATCCGATTGTAATAAAATAATGCTAATAATTAAGTTAATAGTCAAAGATAATATTGTCGGAATTAGGTTGTAGTAAATGGTGTATAACTGTAATAAAAAAAAATGAGTAGCCGCGAGCGTGGTAAAATGTCGACTGCCTGTCGTTATCTCTTTATTTAATGAAGAAGAATATCATCGGTTTTGTTTACACCCGCGCTTGTCGCATAGCTATAGTAGGTCGTAGGGACGTTTGTGCTGATCAGGCACTAGTGTGGTATTGAAATGTTAATGTTGGTGAAGGACGAATAATGTGTACGTTACAGTTCAATTAAAGTTTTTTTCAAATGACAAAATTTTATTAAATTTTCTTTACTGAAATTATTTTTGTGAAATACTGACAAATTAAACTCAAAAAATCAACTTGTTTTTATTAAATTATTTAATTGGTCTTATAAAGGTTAAAAGGCCAATTAACCACTCTGGACCAGTATTTTTCATATTTTATTGAGTCGATATTTACGAAGTATAATTTCAAAAGAACTTTTTTTTATATTACTTTGTTTTTAAGAATTTTTTATCAAAAAAAAAAAAAAAAAAATTAGCGTGCCAATGGTTGTAAGAAATATCGAGTACCTCACTTTCGACGTAAAGAGTTCTAAATATACTCCTAATAGTCAATGACTACTGTATAATTTTCTTCAATCGAAATAATAATAAATATTTAACACGTTCATATTTTCAATATTGAGGACAGGAAGTTGACTCTTACCTACCGGACACACCCTTGATTTTACTTATGTTTATTAGTTTAATTTGTTCACAGTTGTCATTTAAATTTCCCGCTGTTATTTTACTTTGGTTGGTCACACTGTTTCCGAGTATTATGACTAACAATATTGTTGTAAAACATCATTTTTTATTTGATACTTCTTGTTTGTGTTTTAAAGTAAAAATTCACGCTTCATGTTACACAGCTAAATCTCTGAATACTTCATTGGCGTATTTTAAGTTCATAAAACTGTGCTATTCATTAGTATTTCGTTTACAATCTAGGTTAGGTATTTTGTTGTACAATTATTTCTGTTTTTGTTATTATGACGAATGAGTTAACTTTTAATTAAAGTTGATTATTATTTTATCATATCTTTTGCAACACTTTATTTTTATCCGAGATTTATGTCTCTTCTGTTCTCAGAATCATAATAAATGTAAGTAGTTAAATATCAGTAGATAAAGTAATTTTTTGTAGAATATTTGTTAGTATAAAAGATTATTTGATTTTTACCTTGTTTGTCAATAGTAGATTTAGCTTTTTAAATGGTTGGAATGGTGTCCTTTCATGAGAATTATACTTAATTAATCAGTTTTTAATATTATTAACTTAATTTATGTTTAAGATAGGGTAGGATTTTTAAAATATATCACGTGAATCCAGTTATGTTTTTGTTTTTGTGTTAGCTTGTTATTATGCAGAATCAAGAGCATTTACTCCAAGAGATTGAAGGCATTGATGATTATTGGGGTCCAACATTTCGGGCCATATATGATCATGATGATGATAGCCACAAGTTTATTGAAACTTTGGACAATCGTATCAAACAGTATGATAAAGATATTGAACGAATGTGCAATTTTTATTATCAAGGTTTTATAGACTCTATTAGAGAACTACAGCAAGTTGAAAATCAAGCATCTAAATTAAAAAAAAAAGTTATTGAGTTAGATGTCAATATTCAAAATATTACTGCTGATGTGGTAACTGCAGGTGAAGAACTTGTAAAAGCTAGACAAGTTGAAAACAATATTAAAATGGCCATTGATAGCTTATCATTATGTTTACCTGCACTTTCTTCTTATAGTAAATTACAAAAACAAATGGCTGATAAACGTTATTACCCTGCTTTAAAAACTTTAGAACAATTAGAGCAATTATATTTGCCTCAAGTTTCTCATTATAAATTTTTTAGACAGATGATAGATAGAATACCAAAGCTTAGAGAAAATATTAGAGAGTCATCAATGTCTGATTTGAATAGTTTTTTAGAAACTATTAGGAAATTTTCATCAAAAGTTGGAGAAGCTGCCATGAAACATAGTATAGAACAACAAAACTATGATTTTGGTTTGAATAAAATAAAAAAAAAACCATATATGGATAATTCAAATGAAGATAATATTTCTGATGATGAAGATTTGTTGAGTGCACAAGATCTCATTGATTTTTCTCCTGTTTACCGATGTATACATATATGTACTGTATTATCATCTAGAGATATATTTGATGCTTATTATCGTCAACAAAGAAGAGAACAAGCCCTTTTAACTCTTCATCCTCCTAATAATATGCATGAATCAATTGCAAGTTACTGTATTTATTTACAAAGTATAGTAGGATTTTTTGTAGTTGAAGATCATGTACTAAATACTGGTAATGGATTATTAACTAGATCTTACTTAGAAGATCTATGGAAAATGGCATCTGATAGAGTAGTAAGCATTATAAGAACAAATACAGCTTATTGTACAGATGCTAATTTACTTTTAAAAATAAAAGATCTTATTATGGTATTTTGTATTACTCTTAGAAGTTATGGATATTCTGTTAGAAGTTATTTTGATTTATTACATGAAATTCAAGAGCATTATAATGAGATTCTAATGCAGAAATGGGTTCAAGTTTTTAGAGATATTTTATATAGAGAAACTTTTATCCATCTTCAAGTTGAAAACCAAGAAGAATATGATAATGTAATTAAGACATTTCCATATCAAGATGAACAGTTGGAAAATTTACAATTTCCTCGAAAATTTCCATTTTCTTCAATGGTTCCTAGTGTATATGATCAAGTAAAACAGTTTATAAATGCTTGTTTAAAATTTTCAAATGATTTAAATTTTAGCGAAGGAGAAGTTGATGAAATGGTTCAGAAGTCTACAAAATTACTACTTTCTAGAACTTTTAGTGGTTGTTTGTCATCAGCCTTTCACCAACCTAGACTTGGCTTATTACAAGTCATTCAAATAATTGTTGATATGGGATACTTAGAAAAATCTTCTACATCTATTCAGAAATTTGTGTCTGAGGCTACAGGGTCTTCTGGAGGAACTGTTGGTGATGATGCTGGAATATCATTAGGTGTAGCTAAAAGTGATGCTGAACATCATATGTATGAAAAAATGAAATTAAAACTAAATGAATTTTTAGATTTAGAAGACTATGACTGGATGTTAGTTGAACCAACTGGTCAAGCTTCATCATTTGTTACAGATTTAATCAATTTTTTACGTGTAGTTTTTAATGCTTTAAGGAGTCTTACTGAAGAAGTATCTGTTCATGTTTGTCAAGTGGCATTTGAACATATTTCAAAATCTATTTTAAATTTATTACTGAGTGATGATATAAAGCAATTATCAATGGGTGCTTTGAATCAATTAAATCTTGATGTTATTCAGTGTGAATTATTTGCTGCATCAGAGCCTGTTGGAAAAGGTGAAGATCCAGATTTTTCTCAATATTTTGCTCCTTTGAGACAACTTTTGGACTTATTGCTTAGTTGGGACTGGTCAACATATTTTCATGATTACGATCAAGAAACATCAAAATATGCTTATGTAAAACCAACTACAGCTGTCATTGTTTTAGAAAAATTAAAGGAAGCAGATAAGAAGAGTGTGTTTTCAGTTTTAAAAAAAAGTGAAAGAGATAAAAAAAAACTGCTTGATACAGTATTAAAGCAATTAAAACAGTTAGCAATTACTGTTCAACAATAGTTAGATTCAAAATATACAAATTTCTCTCACGCAATATAATTTTTTTTTCTAAATATTACTTAATGTATACAAGATGTGCACTTTATGTTTATTTTTATCTTAATAACATAGTATATATTGTAGTATATAAATACTATGTATAAACATTTTTTTTTATATTTATAGTATAATACAATATTGCATTATACAGAGTGTTCAAAAAGTAAGGCAACAGATCAATTATTACAATTAATGAGAACAATAGAAACTTGTTTCCTTACTTACTGAACACTAAATATTTATTTGTTTATGATTATTAATTGATATTAAATAATTATAATAAAAATTATTATTAATTACATTTAGAAAATTTTAGTTTTATTTTTTATTGAATCGAGAGTTTTCTATGACGATTTAACTAAAAAAATTTTATTTTGAGTTTTACATGTATGTAAACTATACGATTTCAATAAAATAATTATATTTGAATGTTAGTTTGGTATTTATTATAATTATTTTCGTTAGCCATTCTTTAAAGTTAATTATAGCTGTGGGTTTTAACATAACTTGATAAATATTTTAAATTTTAATGAATTATTTTTTCTATTATTTATTCTACTTAATTAAGTTAAAATCATAGTACTTATATTTTGTAGAACTTTTTTCCACATTATAATTTTGTTCAAGGTCACAATGCCATTAAATGAAGAATATCTTACTCCTGATGAAGTTGAAACTGCACTAGCCTTGTTAAATAAAGAAGAAGTTGCTTCAAAAAAGCGGTTAATTGTGTTCTCCAATGATTGGCACAAGGTTGTTAAAGAAATTGAATTAGTTACACAACAATTTACATCATTAGAACCTTTAAAATTCAATCTAATTCAAATTGAAAAAAGAATTCAAGATTCTTCAATACTTGCTGAAGATATTTCCTCTAAAGTAAGACATCTGGACAAAATCCGTGGGCGTGTATCAGAATGTCAAAAGCGTGTGCAAGATTTATTAGATCTTCAATTGTGCAGTGAAGGTGTTCAAGTTGCCATGAAAAATGATGAGCTGGAAAGTGCTGCAGCACATGTTCATCGTTATCTTTCTATTGATCAAACTAAATTGCAACGTACAGCTGATGATATGGCACAAGATTGTTCAATGGTTACAAGTGCTCTGAAACATTTACAAAGTGCTTCAAATCATCTTCGAGAAACAGTATCCAAACGATTTGATCAAGCTTCATCAATTGAAGATCAAAAATCTATTGAAAGGTATTTTAAAATTTTTCCACTTCTTGGAATGCATGATGTAGGTTTGGAAACATTTGTAGTTTATTTAGGACGATTATTGAAAAATAGTGCTGATAAAAATTTAAAAAATGTATTAGATACATCATTATCAAGCAATCGGGCTAGTATTATCTTTGCTGATGGTTTGACATTTATTTTTGAAGAAGTAGCCAAAATGATTGAAGTACACCAGCCATTAATAGAAACACATTATGGTCCAGATTATATTTTAAAATTTGTGGCTCTATTGCAAGTTCATTGTGATATGTTTAGTAATGAACTTTTGAGTGCATTTCTTAAAAATCGTAAAATTAAAGAGTTGCTGAAAATTATGTGGGATGAATCCGGAACAAATGTAGAAAAACCAAATTCTAAAGACATAGACATATTAATTGAAGAAGTAGTGTTAATTTTAGGACGTTATGATTTATATTCCAAATTTATTCATAAACATGTTAACACAGATTTAGATACAAAGTTATCCAATACTAAAACATTGCTAAATAACAGTAAATTGTGCTGTTCTGTTCAAGAGTTAATGGGTAAATATTTAGAATTTGAAAGATATTATATGGAAGAGAGTATAAAAAAAGCAATGATGATGGATACCATAGAAAATGATGATGAATTGACATCAAGTATGGTAGATGATGTATTTTTCATTATACGCAAGTGTGTTATGCGATCACTAAGGTCAGGAAGCTTAGATTTACTTTGTGCTGTTATAAACAATGCAATTAATGCATTAGAATCTGACTTATGCATTTTTTTTGGTCAAATATTAAATTCTGGTTATCCAGGTTCTGGATATTTTAATAGATTTACTCCAGATCTAGAAAAAGTTAGGCAAACATTCTTAGCTTCTTTAAATAATACTGAAGTTGCTATTGAATATTCTAAATCATTAGCACAAACATTTAGAGAAGAAATACCGTCAAAACTAATTGACTTTAATATAGAAAAATTAGAGAGTTGTCTTAGTGATTTTTCCAGGATCAATTCACTCTTAGTAACAGCAAATAAAAATGGATTCAAACAGTTGCAAATTTCTTTAATTGAACCAAAATTACAGTCATGGACTGAACCATTTTATGAATATAATTATAAAATGAGTGAAAATGAATTTACTCTTATGGATTCAGATAACCCTTTTGTACAAAATCTTATTCTAAATATAGGAAATTTGTTTAAAGATTTTAAGAGTAAATTGACACCCAACAACTATGATATGTTTGTTGTAGCAATAGCTGTTGAAACTTCAGTTCAAATAGAAAAAGCTATCATGAAAACAGAATTTAACCGATTAGGTGGTATGTTATTAGATAAAGTTATTAGAACTTTAATTAATTATTTTAGTGGATCAAGTACATGGCCCGTGAGAGAAAAGTTTTCTAGATTAGTCCAGATAACAACTATTTTAAATTTGGAACGTGTATCAGATTTAGATGACTTTTGGAATCCAGAGAGTGGAATGCGTTTTGCTTGGAAACTCACACCTGATAATATTAGACACATTTTGAAACTTCGAGTTGATTTCAAAGAAGATGATATTAGAAAAATAAAATTATAATTTTTATTTGTTTAAGATTTTACATTGTACCAAAAATTTACTTTGGTTATTTGATAATTGCTAGTACTTTAAAATAAAAATGTGCAATTCATCAAAAAGTATTAACCCTTTTTTATTAGATAGTTTTTAATTTATTAGATTATTTAATTGTTATTTAAATAAATTTATTATAATTTTGATTCTTTGTTTATTGATTATTGAATAAATTTTTTACATATGAATTTATTTGTAGTATAATGATTTCTATTAATCTGAATATATTTAAAATTTGTATTAGGAATTATTAAAATAAAATTGTTTTTCTAGAAGTATTTTTTATATAACATGTGGATAAAAATCAGGGAAGGTAAGAAGGTAGTTGGGACTAATTTTCTGAATTAGCTCCCTTAAACTAATAAAATAATATTTATTGTTAAATAATTATTTATATCTGTATAAAAATAGATTTAAGAATGAATGAAAATCGAGAATTAGTAAAATATTAAAGAAGATACACTTCCCATTTCAGACTATGCTTTTATTTTCTTAATAATTATATTAATATAAATAATGTTAGTGTTTTTAACATGCTTATATTAAAAATTCTAAATGATAGAATACTAAATATAATAAACTTAGAAAAAATGAAAATTTTATATGGCTATTAGAAGAAATTGCATGATTTTTCTTTTTTGTACTTAGATTGAAAATCTTCAATTTAACACAGTATTGGAGTAACTTGTAAAATGACACCATAGTATTTGATTTTGAGTATATCAGAGGAAATAATTTCTCAGAGTTTTAAATGTTTGTATTTATATATTTTCGAGTATACTACTTGCATGATACAATTCTGTAGTGTAAATTTTTAAGCTACGAATTTTGTTATTTTATATTATACAATTTAATTACTGGGACAATTATTTTATTATCTATATTTAAGTTTATCTTTATTTGCTTAAAAGTAAAGTAAATTGTATAGTAATTGAGTTATTGGCTTAAAATTGAAAATTGAAGAGTATATCTTGAATGTAAATAGGTTGTTTCTTAAGAGCTTAAACAGTAATGCAGCGGGGCACAGCCCAGTTAAGTTCCGTATCAGACCTATATGTTAGTGATGAAATATCAGTGCTTCTAGAAGAAATTCATGATTTGGAACCTAAAGGAAATATAGCACCTATTGACGACGCTCAAGAATTTGAAATTAATGGTAGTCAGACTGGTGGTTCTTGGATAGAAGTTACTAATAGTATGGCAGGTACACCAGGATCATGGGACTCGCATGCAAATTATAAACATCAAACTAATAGAGCTCTTTATAATGGTGTAGTTATACACTATGATAAAAAGCCCATTAAAACACCATCAGGAATTATACGCATATTACTTTTGGTAAATATTTTTTATTATTACATTAAATTAATTATAATTCATATTGCCCTCACAATTAATTTTACTTTAGGCGACCTGTTTGTTGTGTATACTTTGTCTTTGTTTTGCCGGAACATCTAGATTAGCACTATTTATGTTACCGATGTTACATCGAATACGATTTATGCTATTTGTCACTATATTCAATTTTCTTGTTACTGGAGGAATTCTTTTTCTTGATATTACTCATACAGTTTACTTATTCCCATTTAATTGGGGAAAGTTGGTGAGTAATAATGTATATTAAAATAGTTACATTTTCATTTATTAGTGTCTTATATAGTTAAAAGTTTCTTTATTTACCTTAAAATATTTTATTTACTTCATTTTTAAATTATTAATTCTACATTATTTAATATGGTTTGATTGATTAACTATACCTTATACAATATCTAAAATATTTTTTAAAGACTACATCCAATAAATAAAAAAAAGCTAATTTTACTCCATTCAATAGATAAAACATATTTTTTTAATGGAAACATTTATATGTTGTGTGTCATAGAAAATCATCCAATTAAAAAAAATGACTGGACAATTACAACTTGTGAGCCAGTATTTTTGAAAATATTACTATTTTAAAATGATAGTTGGAAGTGAGGCATGATTCTGATTACATTTACCACCAGGAATTATGTGTCATGCTACTCCTACCACCTAGATATAAAAATAATGGTTCAAAAGTTTTTATCAACAGCCATTTTCTTAATTATATCATATTTTAATATTAAAACTAGTTAAATTTGTATGTTTCCATTTAAAAAGCTCATGTTTATATAAATTTCAAGAAAGTGAAAAAGATTTATTTTTTATTTTCAGTATATTAAAATTAAAAAATTGATAAATTTTTTGTAATTTGGAAGATATTGCGTGAAGCATAATTAATCAATCACTTTGTATGTTTTAGTCCATTTCCAATAAGTCAATTTTTTTACTTAATTAAAAATTATTCATAGTTCACTGTTTAACTAAAAAAAAACATTTCAGAATGTTTTATTCTATGTTATGATGACCACTTTATGTCTAACAAGTTCATCATTAGTTCTTCATCAAGTTTATTCATTTCATGAATTTTATACTTGGGTGCCTCGTATTACACGTCATCAGCTACTTGTAGCAGCAGTAAGATAAAAAAAAAGCTATATTAAACAATGATATAGTCTAATAATTTGTTTTAGGTATTAGGTTATTTGTGTGCTCTTGAGACTTTACTTTTAGCTTTATTGAGCCGATGTGATGGATTGGGTGGCTTACATTATCGTCAAGTTAAGGATGACATGACTAGTCCTCCAAATACATTAGCTCTACACCAAAGAATACCACCACCCACTGTAGTATATTCTCCATCACCATCACCATCATTTTGTCTGCGTTCAGTTAATCCTAAATTGTAATAAGCATGCTATATTTATTTTTTTAATAAACTCATTATATTTTATTTTTTTACTGTATTAATTTTTGTGTGTAAATTAATATAAAATATACCAATCATTTTGGAATGTAGTGAACATCTAGTTGTAGATAAGAAATATAAATAATCACTTGAATCATGGGTATAGGTATAGATCATTTATAATATAGATTGACTAAATTACCCCCCCTCTATCTTATTATTCTTACTGTGATTAAATTTATAGTAAAATAATTTTGAATTGGGGTAGTTTTTATCTTTATAAATCTTCCCTTTACTGATATGTCCTATTAATCATAATAGGTATTTAAAAATTTGATTTTTAATTTCATTAAAAGTTCAAGAAAAACTTATATTCTCATTATATTATCTTCTTAGTACACTTACAATATACTTTGAAAATATTTAATATATTGATTGACATTTATCCTTAAAATGTTTTCATTAATTTTTGTGAGACGTATATATTAGTTAGTTTTAATTAATTTTTTATTCAATTCAATCAAACCGTTTTTTTATAATTACAATTCTATTCTTATTCAATTTATTAATGACCATTTATGAAATTCATTCATATGAATCCCTAAATTTCTTTTTATTAAAAAACTATGAATTAAATTTATGCTATATTTTAACTAAAAGGAAAATTACATTTTATGTTCCATTATTTATTCTAGTCATTATTATAATTACAATTATTAGATTTAAGTTAGTGTGTTGATTACAATTAAAAAAAATTTTGTTTGTAATATTATGACATATTTTACAATTATTTAACCTTAAATGCATTATATAATAAAAATTAATTACTTGTGGCTAATTTTAAAGAACTTAAATGCATTGTTTATACAAAAAATCTATAAAAAAAAAAATGTCACTCAACTAAAATATAATTTTTCTTTAACTTTAAAATAATTATTAACTCATACCTAGTATAAATGTTTAGATGGTGCTCACAGTATTTTTTTAGATTTTATTTTGCTATTAATATACATATTTAGTATTGCTACCATAACAAGCCAAGGAAAAATATATTATCTAATATTAATCATATATATAATTTTAATGTTCTCAAGTACAAATGTTATTACCTGCTATACATAATTAGTTAAGCTATGAATTTTTTATAATTGCAATTTTATGTCACATAAAAATATATTATGTAATATTTACCTTTAAATCCTCACTATTATCGAAGTAATTATATTATAATATCAATTAAATATTATTATTGAAAAATAATTATTAGTAAATTATTGACTTATGTTTGTTTAGTTTTGTCATTTAATTTGGCATCTATTTTTTTTCTGAAATATTACAAACTAGCCGTCCAGCAAAAGTTTATTATTACATTACATAATATATTTAATTAGTATATTTTTGCGAGATATTTCTCAAATTTTATATAATTTATCAAAATATAATACTTTAGAGCGGTTGTGATGGCAGTTATAGTAGTGATAATATGAAAGTATGGAATAATATTTAGTATGAATACAAATAAATTAATACATAAATATTTCAAAAACTAAAATTTAAGTTTAAATCAAATATTATACTTATTTTAGTCATTAACTGTTGAATTTTTTTTAATGAACTTGTTAAGTAACTACTGAAGAACGGCCTGAAAAGAAAATAAAGTTTTAGTTGTGTGGTATTTTAAATATTTAAAATTTCCCATAAAAGGTCTTTTAAAAATGAATCTCATTTNTTAGTTGTGTGGTATTTTAAATATTTAAAATTTCCCATAAAAGGTCTTTTAAAAATGAATCTCATTTTTTATCTTTTAAATCTAAAAATATGTAATGGGCTTTTTATTTAGGCGACCCACTATTAAACTTATGACTTTTAATGTTATTCAATTAAAAAAAATTTCATTATCACTGAATGTTTTTTCTTCTCATACAATATAACTGTAAAACATAATTAAAAAATTAAAAAAGATACTTTGTATCTTTTTCTATTTAACAAAATATAAAATAAGTTATATTCAATATATACTGAAGTATACAATTTGAAAATTTTACTATTCCATTAAAAACAACTTATTTAAATAAATGATAATATTATTCCTACAGAAAATAAAAATAATTTATACATATTTTTATATATTATTAATATATTAATACTATATAACAAACATATTTTGGTTTCTCTACATAATATATATACATTTAAATATCTAACAATTGTACTTATATTTATAGATTAATAATTTTTTGTGATAATAAAATATATTTATTCACTTAGTTTTTTTTATTCTTCATTCGATTAGCTTTAAACATGCTAATTGGTTTAGTGCTATTGTCACTACTTTCTTCTTCCTTTGTTTCTTCTGTAATATATGTATCCAAGTCTGATTCTCTCTCTATAATATCATCTATTTCTGTTAATAATATCTAAAGAAAAATTAAAAGAACTTTTTAGTTTTCGTGTATTTTAATTTATAGATATAATTTAGTGGCATATCCAACATTTATTATGGAAGAGCCTTTTGCTGATTCACAATAAGGACTTTTTTTTGCTTGTTATTTAATTATACAAGGTAAATCTTTTAACACTAGCCACTGGATTTTGTTTAAAATAGTAGTTATGTTAAGAAAATTATTTTTGATACTTTTTAGTATGATACATTATTAGTTTTATATAGTTATAGGTGGTATTTATCAATTTCTTTGTGTTAAAGTTTAATACGGAGTAACCTGTTAATCATTAACTACTCATTACCTGTAGAATTTAAATAGTTTTGAAATTTTTTTTTTTTACTTTTACTTAGGCTGATGATATTGTTTTTAAATTATCAGAATTAATACTTTTTATATTTATCACTTATGCTCTGTATAAGAGACGATACATCTATACTCTCTCTTATATGTTCATTCCTTATTCTATCTTCTCTAATCACTCCACTCATCCTCATTCTAATCTCTGCTACACTTATTCTCTGCTTTCCTTTCTTATCAACCGCTCAACACTTTGAACCATACATCATAGATGGTCTCACTACAGCCTTATAAAGAGTACTTTTCAACTTCATTAGAGTTCTCTTATTGCATAATACACCAATCGCTTCTCTCCATTTCACCCAATGAGCTGATCTCCTCTAACCTTTGATTAATTTCTTAACACTACAAGCGCTGGGTAGACATGTACACTGGTGAAACAGCTACTATACAAGTTGTCCGGCTGGTATCAAACACTTTATTTATTAGGCCTTCTAATTACTTTAATTTCCCTCACCTGTTGTACCAGCATACATAAGAGATAGGACAATCTCCTTAAGATTGTTCAGGACTCCTCATACTTTTTGACATTTTACGACAGCTATCAATATGATACAACCTCATTAGTCACCTCTTTACGACTGGCAGAGGAGCCGTGGAAGTATTCTTATCCCCTATCCACAGGGACATGTTCCAAAAGTAAACAAAAAAAAAATTTATATTCTGTAATTGAATGGTTGATCATTAATGTATCACTCAGTACACATTGTTATTTATTTATACCCTACAATAATTTTAATTTCAGTTTAACAGATTTTACTTCTGATTTATTGTGTATAAGCTCTTCTTTTCTTTGAATAAAGTATTCTTCGGGCCTAATTTCAAATTCTTTAATTTGAACATCATTGTTAAATGAAACCCTTTTCTTGAAAGATTTTTTCTTGATACAAGTTACGGGAGCATCTTCACTAAAAACAATCTCAAGTTCTTTTGTATCATTATCATCATCATCATCATCATCGACATTGTCACCATCATCATCATCATCATCGTTGCTCTCATTTAATGATGAGTCATCACTGTCTATATTAACTTCATTCCTATATTTTTAATAGATATTCAATCAATAATTTAATTCTATAAAAATAAAATGTTGATAAATTTGTGTTCTGAAATATATGTTACCATAATAATAAGGTAAAATACATTTTCTAAAAATAACATCCATTAATTATAAAATTGATTTATCATCAAATAAAAATACAAATATATAGTAATTAATAAGTACCGTATTAAATCATCCTCAAGTGTTTCAAGTAATTCTAGTTCCTCTAGTCGTTTAAGTGCATCATTTTCTATTTTTAAATTTTTTTTACGCATTTTTGCTAATTGCTGTCTATATTCTCTTTCTTTAATTTTATGCCTTTCTATAAAATTTAAAAAAAGGATTTTAATAGATATTTTAACTAATTTTATTAGAATATAATGCTTTGATGCAAATCTGAGAAAGTATTAATTTCAATGATATCTTAGAAGATTACAAATTGTATCTAGTCAAAGACATTGTCCTCAAAAGTTTTCCTCATTCCTTGTTAATGGAGAAAATACCCTAAAATATTAGAATTTAAAAAATCGGTAATTATCGACATTTTCCATTAAAACTGCCATAACTTTTTTAAAAATGAATAAGTAAAAACAAATTATTTGTTTATAGAAACTTTAGGTATTTACCTATCTTTTGGTACATTTTTTTAATAATCTGACCCTTTTACATGCCTGCAGGAGGGATTCAAAATGACAACTTTTCTACAAAAAATTAATTTTTGAAAATTTACTGGAAATACTGATACTTTTATAAATATCTTAAATTAAAAATTATGTAATATACTATTAAATTAAAACAAAAATTTGTGAAAACTGACCTTAAATTTATAGAAAGAAGTATGATTTTTATGTAAAAGTTGGAAAATTCAAAAAAATTTAATAAATTGTTGTACAAAAACTTATTTGAAAGTATTTTTAAGAAATTAGTATATGCTAAAATGGTGTATTAAGAAAGAGGTGGTCAGGGAACCACCCTCCCTACTTTTTTTTTTTTATTATTCATTTTGACTTTAAATTGTATTCATTTTTATGAAAGAATTTATTAGATTAAATGCGAAGCTGAGAAGGTATTAAATTTACCATTAATATATTTATTTATTGTTCTCTTTTTACTGTGTTTTATTGTGTTTAATTAAAATACTTTGTGTAAGTATGTATTTTTTAAATTAAATATCTTCACAAATTATAGGAATATAGAATTCGTTTTTATATTAAATACACAGAAAAATCATTTCACTAGAATGAAATTTTTTTTAAATTATAATTAAAAAAATTTTCATTCTGGTTATTGTTAACTAGCTTATAAAATAGAAAATGATCTAATTAAGAATATAACTTCAATGTTCAATAACAACATTTGTATTTCAAAAGTTTTTAACATTTTAATACCTAGGCAGAGAGAAGAGTGAGGCTAAGAAATGTCTAATGATAAAAATAGCAACATCCACTCCTCACATTGAGTCATTACCTTAAATTGATATGTTCATACTCATTTTTTACTAATTAATATGAATCTCAAAAATTATAGAAAAAATCTAATTGCAGATTTGAAACTTAATTGAGAAAAATATATTTTTGACATTGTTAAAGAAGAAATTAATTCATTAATTTTTCATTTTTACCTCTCCATATTGCTTCTTCAGCTTCATCTAATGGTTCAATTATTTCTTGAGTAACATCAGTAGTGGCCTGATGTCTAGCCACAATATTTTGACTTAAGAAATTTTTTTCTTTGTCAATGGCTGCAAGTGCATTAGTACACCCTAAAAAAGAAATTAAAATGATTTTATATGAAGATATTTAAGAAGAAAAGATGAAAAATTCATACTTTTTATTTGACGATCACACACAGATTTTGCTTGAAAAGCAGTTTGTTTGGTAAAAATGTTCTCACCGTGTCTAATAATTATTTCATTAGTATTACAAAGTTGTGCTCTAACAAATACTTTTGGTCCTATTGGCATCATTATAGATGCTGATAATTCTTTAGGATATTCTTCTAAACATTTTTTTAAATCTTCGTATTCATGTTTATAACCTTTCCATTTCTGTTCAAGCAAATTTGTATGCTCTAGGGCCTATAAATAAAATGGTTTGGTTTTAACATAAATTGTTTAAAAATAAATTTTCATGAATAATAATAGATAATTATTTTATTATATCTAATAAATAGATTATACTAATTTTGTACTGTTAGAAGAAAAATATGCCTTAAAGAATATTGGACTAATGCACTGTAATAATTATAATTAGTTTGACCTTTATTCTAATTTTATTTATTCAAGATAATCATATTTTCTATATAATTAGTTAAACATTTTTATATTTCTATACAGAAATGTCACATAAATAAGCAGATGTTGTGCTATAATTGAAATTTTAATTATAAAATAATATAATTAATTTTTTTTATTGCTTTTAAATTTAAATATTTTTACTTTAATTCAATAAATAAATGATTATCAAATAATCTGGAATATTGAACAATAAAAGTTTATCTAGTTGAATTTAATATGCATACATATTATCTATACCTATAAAAGACAGAGTATTATTATTAAAAAAAAAAAAACAGGGTGTATTTTCTATTAGACACTTGAAGTACCAAATTCAAATTATCTATAATCTTTAATATTCAGTTTCAAATTTTGAAGGGAAGTGAGATGTTAATAAATCATAAAATTAATTACATGTTAAATATGGAAAATCAGGAGGATGGATTATTAGTAGCATTTAAATTTATAAATTTTGTTAAGTTATTCCAAATATACCATCATCCAGTTCAAATTTGTTTTTATAGGCATGAATATCTAGTAATGTAATCTAACTAAAGTTATAGGTTTTAAGGAGAATCAGGATACTTATCCACACAAAAATGAAAAATTTTTCTATACTACTGTATATTTCATCAATAAATTTGTACAAACTTGGATCTTTTTAAAATAAATCAAACAACATACATAAATGCCTGTAAATTTAGATTCTAGTTATTAGTGAATTTTCCAGTTTTACATATCCCAAAATATACAAACTCAATTTTTTTTTATTTCATGGTGTATAAATATATATGAGTATACAGTACTAGTGCTAGGTTAAAAGGCTGTGAAAAATCATAATTGTAGAACCTTGTGCCAAGGGCATGGAGGGCATATATAATCAATTTGTTTTTGTTTTTAGGGGGTAATAAAAATTTTTCTCAAGTATATCCGCCCAAAACCAAAACCCTACTTACGCGACTACTATATTCAGGGTTTGGACCACGTACCTTGCTTGCCTCGCTATCGCCGACAATGGTCTTATATGTTTATTACATAATTAAAAAGATGTATCAGTTAAAAAAAAAAGTTATTTTTACCTCATAGTTAATTTTTTGAACAAAAGATGTACCTCTTAATTGATTAGACATAATAAGTTCAATAAATCAACAAAATATACAATTAAATTCAATTATTTGATTAAAGTATTTCATTTCAAAAACCGGCGTTTCTATTCTCAATTAATCCAAAAATATTACGTGACACGATCTGTAAAAAAATGATATGTAGTACTGGTTGTTCAAAACGGATTGATAACGTATAAGAAATGATAAGATTTTGTTTGTAAGAGAGATAAGCCATATAAGTATAAGCCTTATGCTACTAAAAGAAACAAACAACTTGGGATCGTTAATACCAAGCCTCATGTTTGCCTAATAATAAAATGCTTATGATTTAATGAGTAAATATTTAAAATTCTAATAACTCACATTAATTACTCAGTGTGCGACGCTGTTCGTCAATGATAAGAAAGTTATAATCGTTAAATAAAATGAAAATTTGATTATCTAATGAATAATTACTCATAAAGTTATAAAAAATTATGTTATTCATACGTGTTATAATGAGAGGTGAGATGATGAGGTGTGAAGCCTTTTGCTTATTAAATAATCCCACATTATATAGTAATATTCCAGCCCTGATTGTATCACGCAACGTACAATATTTACCGTAGCACTAATTATCGTGCATGATAGATGTGTGGCTTGACTATACTCGTAACATGTTTGTTTGCATGCGCACTAAAACGCGTGCAGCGTGCACGGTATAATATTTGTGTTGTATAAAATTAAAGAATATAGTAATTCAAAACTTTTTCAACTTGTTGACTTTTACCAATGATGTTGGATTTTTCTTTTGTTAGTTTTTTTTTTCAAGATTTACAATACGTCTTTGAAAGCTGCTTTTGGTGATATCTTGCTATTATTTTTTCATTGTAAGTGTTGTTACGAACTGTGTTGTTTTAATCCTATATGAATGATTTGTGCTTTAATTTTCGTAGAAGCCATATAAAGACATTATAACGTCTTTAAAAATACAGTGTGTGGTAGGTTTGATGAAAATGGTACATCAGAAGTCCAAAGTTTTGGTTGTATGTGGGCCATCAGGTTCTGGAAAATCAACATTACTGCGAAAATTATTTGATGAATTTCCAGAAAAGTTTGGCTTCTCTGTTTCCCATACTACACGAGGACCGCGTTGTTTTGAAGTAGATGGCCAACATTATTATTTTACTACCAAAGATGAGATGCAAGCAGCTATAAAACGTGGTGAATTCCTTGAACATGCAGTATTCTCTGACAACATGTATGGCACTAGGTAAGATCTTTTAATAAATTTACAGTGATCATTTAATTGAGACCTTATAGTTAAGATTAATTTTGTGCTATAAATGATTAACCTACTGTGTAATATGAGAATGTTCAGCTTAATAAAGTCCACTACTATTTAAGTTAAGTGAAAAAAAATTATCAGTATTAAATAAACCAGTATCAAATAATTATAATTGGTTATTTAGTTTCCTTTTAACATACATATAATTTTTTCCTCATATAATAAAATCTAAAATTGGGTACATGATTAATTTTTTTTTAAATAAAAAGTAGAGTAAAGTTCCAGTACATTTTTCTGTTTGTTAAGTTTGATTATATATATCTTATGAACTTATTTTTTTTCAATATTCATCTTGAATATTGTGATATTCTAAATGTTCAATACAAAAATTTTAAAATGGAAAATATTTTCTTTAATTTTTTTTTTAATAATTAAATTATTTGTTATTCTACAATTTAAAATTTATAATGAATCAATTAAAGATTTTTAAATGTAAGGTGTTAATAATTCTTCTTGAAAAATCAATAATATCATGATTGAGATCTGTTTTTTATTTTTCTGGAATATTATTTTACTTAAAACAATGAAAAATAATACGATAATTTATTTTTTATAAAAAAAATCTATTTTTCTAATTCTAACATCTAAATTCTTGACTAAAATTTACCCACCTTTATAGGTTATCATATATGTAATCAAAAATTTAAAGAACTGCTTTATATTTTTGCAGTTTAAAAGCAGTGGAAAATGTACAAAAAAGTGGTAAAATATGTGTACTTGATATTGATACACAAGGTGTTATGCAAGTAAAAAAAATTCATTCATTAAAACCTATTTATGTATTCATAAAGCCTCCTAGTATTAATGAGCTAGAAGTACGTTTGAGAAAAAGAGCATCTGAATCTGAAAATACTCTTCAAACAAGATTAAACGCAGCACAACAAGAAATTGCCTATGGTAATTTTTTTTCTTATAAATCATAAAATTATATATTGAATGTTTGATTTTTTATTTAATTAATTGATTTAAAGTATTAATTATAACTATGTATTACAAATTATATTCATATCATTCCGTTTTCTAAAATTATGATAATAACAAGGTTTGTAAATTTATGCATTTATAAATATTGTCAGTGCAATTCTAAGAGCGCTAATATCAAAGTAAATATATTTTTAGTTGTATTCAAAACTAAGCTATATAATAGACTTAGTAAATTATCAATAGAGGAGGCTCAACAAATTAAAAATGATTTTTACTTTGCTATATTACCTATTTATGAATTTTATTTCCACTTTGGTTTATTTAGAATAACTTAATCAATAGTTATACCTAAATGTATAAAATTACTATATTTTTGGCAAAAATAATTGTGTAAGAATTTGTTTTTCATGTAATAAAATTTGGATTTTTTATTTTTTAGGTGAAATTCCAGGAAATTTTGATATAATTATTGTTAATGATTCACTAGATAAAACTTATGCTGTTTTTAAAGATTTTGTAATGAAGTCTTTGGATAAATCAGATAATTAAGAATAACTTGTGTAAATCTTTGTGTATTTGTGAAAATACTCAGTATTTGTTTATGAAGTTCATGACTACTTTAAAAATCTTTATACATACTAACTAGTTTAATAATTGTATCACTAATACAGTTCTTTAGAATAATATATTTAAAATGTTAACTATTGATAAATTTGAAAACTCAGGTTTAGTTAATTCAGCTAAAGTAAATTTAGTTTATGGTGTATTATGATAAAAAAAATCCGTTTATAATATATATTAATATCTTTAATAGTATTTTGGTTATAGTTTATTAAAAATTAATTAATTTTCTTTATATATCATAAGGCTTTTTACCATAACATAATTTAGTTTTTTCATTATTTTGACTTTCAAGATTATTATTATATTACATAGTGTCATAGAAAACGATTATTTTATAATTTAACCATTGGTTAATTGTATTTATGTTATTACTTTTTAAGTTTTTCATAAATAACAAGTGCGTAAATTTTGTAGTAATTATTAAATAATTTTATTTTTCACAAGAAAGATAGAAATACTATACAAAGTTACTACCAATTTAGTTTTTTACAACCATAACTACCTCTTTTTCCATTTTATATTATATATCATTAATATATTATATAAAGACTGTTGGTGTACTACATAATATATAATATTAACAGTATTAACCTTAAAAATAGTTGATTTTCTATTTTTCTTATTGAAAAAAGTATGATTACTTTACCATCATACATGAAAATTTAATAATACAAATTTAAAACTGTTAATATGCTTATTAGTATCACTATAATACCAAAAATTGTCCTTGTAAAATTAACTTGATATATAAGTTGTTTGAAAGGCTAAATTTCTTAATTTATGAAGTCATTTTTTTATTATATCAAAGTTTTCAATTAATTAAGATCAATGATAGGTAGTGAAATATAAATTTAAAAAAATATAGTTAATAACCTTATTTAATATTTATTTAAGATAACCATTGGTTATCTTCTAATGTTTTTAATTTTATTATTATTACTTAATAAGTAGTAACATTTCAGTATATAACCTTAAATATTAAAAAATGTTACTAAAATTTTATTTAAAACTGATGCTAATGTTACCAATAAACATATTAACAAGTTTATGCCTAGATATTATTTATGATAAACAATGAAATAATTATATTTTCTATTTAAAATTTTTACAGAATTTCGGAATAATTGAAAATTAATTATTAGACTTTTTCAATTTTAGTAGTGATGAATGTAATTGTTATTACAAAATGAAGTTTGATCTTGTATTTATATTGTAATTTTAATAGTATATATTTTGTCAATATGTAATATTATTTTTATTTATTTGTAACAAATAATTTAGTTAATTACTATCACTATTGAATTTTTTTAACATAGTATACATCTTTGAAATCTATTTAATATTGAATAGTATTTTTATGTTAACGTAAGAATATTACAAATGCTATCATAAAACTGAAAATTATTCTTGTACCTAATATTAAAATAACTAGTTTTTAATTTAACCCAAAGTTCTTGTATTATTTCAATTATGTTTGTATATATTTTAAGGTATTAAAAAAAATCCATTTTATTTGTATTCTGATTTCGGATTTTTAGTGAGATAGTTTTCTATTTGACTTAAAATTAATTGTTTATTCATGTCTCTAAATAATTGTATACTATAATATTACTTTACCTTATGCCTTAGCATGTCAATTTTTTAATAATTAATAGCTAAGAATAATTAATGGAACTTTAATTTCTAATTAATTAAAATAATTAAGTTTGTTGATTTAATTTCCTAAAATACATTTGAATCATTGTTTTAGGTCGTCAGCTGTCAAGTATACAATTTTATTAAAATTTGTATTTTGGCCAAATGATTTTCCCCTAGGTTGTGTTTTGAATTTATTATTAGTATTATATAAGTTTGGTGCTGGTGTACATTTGTTATTATTTGTGTAATTTATTTTATGCTTCATTTTTACCTCCATTGCATTTGGATACTTATATTTATTGGTTGTCGGCAAATGATAAATATTGGGTGCTGGTGCCTGCCACTGTGTAGTGATTACTAGTCTATAAAATATCAATGAAAATAATATGTCTGTATAAATTAATAATAGTAAATAATCAAAGTATTTTTTCATTTATGCCATAAAAATCATTTAGTAAATTATCATAAAAAATAACTTAACGGTTTAGAAATTATAGGCATCCTATTTTCATGTTGAATTTTTATGGAACTTGTTAATGTATACATATTTGGAGCTGGATTTCCTATTAATGTATTCTTAATATTTGTACGGCTCTTCATTGAAATTTGTGTTCCTTTTGGCTTTACAATATTTAATGCTTTTTCAGGATAGTATACATTAGGGCCAGGTACAAAATCTTAACAATTTAATTATTATTATTTAATAATTATTTAAGGTAATGAATACATTTGAGTTATCGTTATTTACCTTTAACTTTAATTGACCTTTTACTGAAGTTATAATTTCGTTGATATACTTTACCATAACGAGTTTGATCTCTAATATTGTAAAGCATCCCATGTCCATAATTTAAAGTATCCTGAATTTTTCTACCGATTGTTGGAGCTGGATTTCGATATTTAGTTAAAATATGATTTGAATATCCAAATGTTGTTGGTAAAGAATAAAAGTTAGGACTGGGTCCTAGGATAAAATGTGTATAAATGTTAAGATTTTTTTAAAATTGATAAATTTATTGAATTTGCTGGTTAAAGTACATTAAAACTTTTAAATTAGAAAGAGTCATAAGTATAAAATTTTGTTTCTTTTTTATAAAAAAAAATTTTAGTTTCAACTAACATAATATTCAAATAGAAAAGTCTATATACTCATCATAATGAGATTAAGTACTTGCATTTTATACGTAATTGCTTCGAGTTAAAAGCAACAGAATTTTACAAATAACCAAGGACGAATGTAGAAATTTTCATGGAGAATCAAAATATATTTTAAATATTTGGATCCACTGTTCGCTTAATAAACCCATCGTTAAAAAATAAGTAACTATGATCCTCGGTCATTTAAACACGCTTTTTTGAAGGCTTTGTCATAGGCACAATAAGAAAGACCTTACCTTCCCAAAATATTATGTATGTTGTCATATACATGTACAATGTTTTTAGGGTAGGGAAAAAATACAATTAGCATCCTCAAAAAAGTTATTCTAATAAACGCCTATGGGCTTCACAAAAAAAAGTTATGAATAAAATATTTAATGGTAGTTTTATTTATTGTCTGTATGACTGAGTGACTGTATAAATTTAATAAATAAAACTAAACATATATGCCATCAGTTTATAAAAAAAAAACAGTATTTTTAATCCTAGTTTTCATATTATAATTTAATAAAATACATTTTTTTTCTTTCAATTAAAAAAAATTTATTTTGCAAAATTTTATAATACACAACGATTATGAAAATTAACCAAGCAAAAAGTCAAGGTGGGGGCCCCACGCAGACGCCCATATATAAAATATAAAGTGTCATTTATATATTACTTAGTTACCAAGAAAATCTCAGTGGATCCCTTTAATTTTTATTCTTCGTAAATATTTGGACCTATATTTTATGATGGGTATACTCTCATTCTTAATGAACAACACGCATAATTTTTAGAACAGCACAAAATAATTGTACAGTTTATTTAAAATAGTCTAGAACCCTTTGGTTTGGCAAGTGTCTATTTAAGACGATTATCAGAAAATGTTTAATCAGATAGAATAAGACGATAACATTTTAAATCGCACGTTATATTATTAATATTGAGGTGTTGTTTTATTTTCTGCATTAAGTTAATTTGAATAATAATTTAATATGAATTCAAAACGCTTAAGTGCCGTTGAAAAAAAGCATTTACGAAATAGAGCACTTTTTAAAAAAATGGTCAAATCCAAACAACTAAAATTGGCAAATTCATTAATATTTTAATCAATTTTTTCTTTATGTAATTTGTATTTTTTAACTATAAAAATAATAACATCAACCATGATTTTTGTCATAAAGAAAACTAAAAGTTTAAGTTTAGTTACGTAGTATTACCGTGACAGGTTGTTTAATAAAGTTTACCTCCTTCCATTTCTCTGTATCCAAAATGAGATGAATCACTTAAATAATGAGGATTTTGAAAAATGTATTTTCTACTAGGAATTACTAGTGGATTATTTTTATGAATAATAATCAACGTTGCTAGTAGCTATATAAGATTAAAAATAAACAAATTACATAAAGTAATGTATATATTAATTTTTAATATTTTACAAAAGATGATACGTCACTTTTGCAATTTTTTAGGAAGACAAAAACAATCCTAAAGTTATGAAATTTTTAAAAGCTTTTATGGATTTTTGTATTATTTAGAATATTTACAGATATATCCATGTCTTTAGTTTTATGTTGATGTTTCGAACTTGTTGCAAAGTTCATCTTCATATATTCGTGGATGAACACTGCAACGAATTTGAACTAGAAATTTCAATGGAATCTTATAAAAAATGTCATTTTTTAAGTATAAAAAACAAGTCTTTCCGTTACAATATTAAAAAAAAAAAAGCATCCTCTCTATAAAAATTATCAAAATAATAAGAATAAGAACAATGTAAAAAAATAGGGGGTCGCGGCACAATGGGAACATGTCATAGTTGGGTCCAGTATAGATTTAATCTGACAGTTATTAAAATCACTATCATTAGAAACGCTTCGATGCAAATCTATAGATGATGTTTAATTCTAAGAAATTGGTGGATAATTTCAAAAGCAAAATGAACTCCTATTTTCCTATTTATAACATGATTAGTAGTCTTCAAATAAAGGCTATTTAAATAAAAAAAAAAACATGATTAGTAATTTTTAGATTCAATAATATAATATATATATATAACTATATAATAATCAATTTTTAATTATACGTTATATAATTTTTATAATTAATTGTTTTCAAATTATTATTGATTTTGATTTTTAATATGTTAAAAGTAATTACTTTTAATCTACTTTATTTTGCCCTTCAAAGTGTAAGTTTATAATAAAAAAAAAATTGAATTTATTACCATAACTTTTAGCTCAACAAGCGAGTTTCAAATTGACATAATTAAATAGAAAAAAAATGGTATTATTAAGATTAATATGCACTCAGGAAATTTTATAATTACTATTTACAGTAAATTTATTAGTAAAGCTCGATTTTGTTGCATTTTTATCGAAATAGATCACTTGAATAGAAATAGTAATCATTTCTAATTAACTTTTGGTGTTTAAAATGATTCTATAATTGAAATATGTAGAACTGAATTGATTTTAATGATTTACTTTAACTAAAAAAAACAACGAAAAAAAAGTTGTTAAAAATATCAACTCAATTGACCGAATTATAAATTTTGATTATAATTGTAAAAGTTGATTGTTAAATTCAGGTGAAACTAAAAATCATTTTTCTTTTGAGATTTGTGATTTATATAGCAACATGTTACCAAAAAATTTGGAATTTAAACAGTCTAGAATATTCCAAAAATTTGGAATGTTATAGACTATTAGTAACACACAGAAATAGAGTTAAAATATTAATAAATTACAAAGTAAAAATATTTACTTTTGCAGTTGAATACTTTTATCATATCAAATCTAAATTGACAGTAAATACATTAAAAATATTATAAATTAATAATTTTAATTGTTTGTATGAATAAAACTGTTTAAGGTATTTTTTATTAGATTAAAGGATTTTTTTTTCAATTTTTGAGGGTAATATCTTCAACTAAATACGAATTGTAATCATTTGACATATCGTTGAAAAAAGTAGATTAATTGAGGTTTGGAAAAATAAATCCCAGCCACAAAAAGAAACACATAGTAAAATAATATTAACATGAATAAGAAATTTCTTCTTATGAGGGGAGACTACAGTGATGGGATCCTTGATATTTATTGGAGTTAATGAATCTAAATGAGATAAAAATCAAATGATTTAAACATTTTTCTAACTTAAAAAAAATTCAAATGTCAATTGCCATAAGCGATTTGAACCTCGTACCTTAATTATGAAAGATACACGTGTTACCGATTCGGCAACTGTTCATCGCTTTTGCTTTTTAATAAAATTGGCAATTTAAGCTAATTCAAAAAGCAAAAAAATTTAAATAAGTTTAACTTCTTATGTCTTATAAACTTTATTCTAAATAATAATATAAGCTTTAATTTAAAATTAAATAAAAGTGTCAATATTTCCGAAATATTTTCAAAAATTTCATTGAAGAAGCTTAACTTGTGTGCAAAAATTGTTTTTTTGAATTCCCCCTGCGGGCAGGTTTTCAGATTTTCAAAAAAATGATATAAAATAAAAGAAGAATATCTAAGGTTTCAATATAAAAAAAAACCAGCACAGGGGGGTCGTGCCACAGTGGTGACGTGGTATAGTTGGATCAAGCATAATGATATCTGACAGTGATTAAAAAAACTATCAAAAAAAAAAAACGCTTCAATGCAAATCTTTAGATAGTGTTTAATTTTAAAAAATTGTTGTATTATTCCCAAAAGCTACATGATCTGCTAGTTTCTTATTAAGATAAAGTATGTCGAATGAAAAAGGGATTATTAAAAAATATTATTTCTCATAAAAAAATTGTATTAATCCATACAGTTTTTAAAAAGTTATAGCATTTTAAAGTAAAAAATGTAAAATATAAAATCGAGAATTTTCACACAAAAATAGCATTTGGTAGCCATTTTCACCACGAAGACAAGTCCAGAGATCAAATTTTTTCTTTCATAATAAAGTACATTACATTAGCTTTAATTTAAGATATATATAAAAGTGTCAGACTTTCCGGAACATTTTCAAAAGTTAAGATGAAAAAGTTGTAATTTTAATTCCCCCCCTGGGGGCAGGTTAAATGTTAGATTTACAAAAAATATATACCAAATGATAGGTAAAGACATCAAGCATCTATAAAAAAAAAATTATATTGATATGTTCATTTTTGAAAAAGTTACGGCAGTTTTTACTAAAAAAAATTGAAAAAATTTCGAAAATTAGCGATTTTTAAATTTGTAATTTTTTTGGAGGTTTCCCCCATTTACGGGGAACGAGGGAAATTTTTTTTATTTTTGAGGGTAATGTCTTCGACTAGATACGATTTGTGATCTTTTGTTGTATCGTTGAAAGAAATCCGTTCGGTGAGAGCTGAGAAAAAGTGGTAACAGACACACAAAAAAAAAAAACGGTAGCACAGTGGGGTCGAGGCACAGTATAGACGTGGCATAGATGAGATAAGTATAGATGATATCTGACAGTGATTAAAATCACTATCATAAGAAACGCTTCGATNTTATTTTAATTTGTTCATTTTTCAAAAAGTTATGGCAGTTTTAAACATTAAAATATTTCATGTTAAACAATAATTTTTACATAAAAATTAATTTTTCGTTTAATTCGACGGGCATTTGTACACAGAAGAAAAGGTGTCGGGACAAATTTTTTTTTTAACTTGTGCATAAAATTATCTTAATTTGACATATATTTGAAGTCGGAGTATTCCGGAATATTTTTAAAAGATAAGGTCTACTTTTTATTCGTATTTTTAAACATTTAAACCCTCCCTGTATAAAGGGTAATGGTCCGATTTACAAAAAACGTATGAAAGATATATAATATATTAATATATTTATATAATATATTAATATAATATATTTAGAAATAAAAATTTATATTGATCCATACACTTATCAAAAAGTTATAATAATTTAAAGTTGAAAAAATAAAATATGAAATCGTAAATTTTAATACCAAAATTGCATGTTTTTTAACTACGCCTACCATTTTCAAATAGAAGATAAGTCGTCGGAACAAATGTTTTTTTTAACTTATAGTACATAAAATTAGACTTATTTTAACATATATTTGAAGCTCGGAATATTTCCGGAACATTTTCAAAACTTAAGTTGAAAACCTTAATTTTTTGTGCACAAGTTGCTAATTTGAAGCCCCCCTGTGGGCAGGTAAATAGATTGTCAAAAAATTTATATCAAATGAAAGGCAAATATCTAAGGTTTCAATATAAAAAAATTAGGTTGATTTATTAATTTTTGAAAAAGTTATGCTAATTTTAAGAAAAAAAAGTGAATAAAATGACGAAATTTAACGATTTTAAAAATTAAAAATTTTTTGGAGATATCCCCCATTTACGGGGAACGAGGGATTTTTTTTCAATGTTTAAGAATAATGTCTTCAACTAGATAAGATTTGTGATCTTTTGACATATTGTTCATTAAAATCGGTCCAGTGAGAGCTGAAAAAAAGTGGCAACAGACACAAAAAAATAACACATCATAGAAAAATTAATACATTCTTAGCTTCGCATTGAAGCTAAAAAAATTATATCATGGTACAATTAATACCTTTTCAGTTTCGCATCGAAGCAAAATAAGGGGCGAATCGAATTCAGATTGTCTCAAACATTGAACTCAACTCAAATTCTTTTTTATGGACTTTATCAAATTATTTTTAATTAAATTATAGATACAAGTATTGAATATGATTTAACTTGTTTGGCATAAGTTGTAATATTAATATTCATTAATACAATTTGGGTAGAGTGAGCATAGCTTTTCAAAAAAGTTGAAAATTATTTGTTAATTTATAAAGAAAATTTCTTTATTTAATATATTCAAGAAGGGAAAAAAATAAGTTTGATATTTCAAATATTTTATTCAAATTGTGCTTGAATTAATATTGAACCACTAAAAAATATTTAATTATTGGCATAATTACATTTTCAGTTTTAAAAATTCCATTGAATGTTATAGAAAAACAATGTTTTTCTCTGAAAATCAGTATATATTACAATATATTTATTGTACTTACAGTAGCCTTACAATAATATGGAAAGTTTTATAAAGATAAATTCTTTAGAAATTATGAAAATCCTAAATTTACCGGAAAGTTAATTAACAACCTAACTGGTTTTAACAACGTAAATATGAATGGTAATAGAATAAATCTTGTTAAAAACATTAATCAGTCGAATTAGTTGAGGCAAATATTTTTAATGATTTTATTTAAATAATTTTTATTTATGTATAAAAAAGGTATTTTTCCAAATATATTTAAAATAACAATACCTAACCCAATCCGATACAAATGGTCTTAATATATATTATTCTGAGCAGTGAAATACTTATAAATTATGGCGTGTTTCGAGGTAGTGTTTAAGGAACAATTTTATCTATTTGATACATTAACTATATTTGTGATCATAAAGTTGGTGCTTTTTCAACTAATAACAAACTTAAAACTTTTAAGGATATATTTATTCAAACATGTGATAATATTTATTTTAATACTTGTAGCTGTCAAAAAATAACTAGGGTAACAAGAGTAAATTATTTAGGTTTAATAATTGATTGAAATTTAAGATTGAACTTACACATAGAGAATTCAGTAATGCGTTTGAGATCACTTGTTTTCAAATTCTACAAATAAAATAAAATTCTCTTTGTTGATATCATGCCTACTGTATATAAAGCTTTATATAAGTCTATTATTTAGTATGGACTAATAGTCTGGGAATGTGCAGAAAATGCAATAAAACCTTTAATTAAACAACATATTTTAGGTAGTTCGTATTTGTTTAAATAAAAAAATTTAAATTGTTAACATTTTTATTTATAAAACTTTAAGTGTTACCAGATGGAGTTATATCCAAGTTATTTGCTATTTTATTTGTTATCAAGCAAATTATAATTAAGCAAAACAATTTTATGAATTTTATTTTTTCATTTTCACGAATACCGTTAAGTTACTATTGTTAATAAAATATAAAAATTTTTAAATAATTAAAAAAAAGAAAATATTATAAGTTCTTGACGAACCCTATTATTTATCATTATACTGTACATATTTGATAATACATTTAATTCAAAAAAAGTGGACACTAACACAATAAAATTTAAAATAAACTTATGTGAATTCAGAATAAAAACTTATACCTATATTAGATTTTATTAAATTGTATAGGTTGACAGTGATAAATATAATAACTATTAAATTTTTATTTGTAATTTGAGCAATTGAAGCGTATAATTGAAAAAAGAAAATTAGATGATTTTTAAATAAAAATTCACTTTTTAAATTTTGTTTAATTTTTTTGAAGACTACTAAGTAACATGAACTTTATTAATCATTTAATTTGTTTTTAAAATGTTATAAAATAGATTATATTTGAATAATAATTCAATACATTTAATAGGTATAGAAACGCATAGTTTTCAAATAACATTGAATGTTTGAAAATAAAAAAAAAATAGCAAGTCAATTCAGTCGTACAATATCTTGTGTAACATTATAAATACAAATTAAAATTTTAAAGATATACTCTTTTAAGTGTAAGACCTTGTTTTGTTTACTATAAATGAAAGTCATTAGGGTAAATGACAAATTAAGTAATACTTAATAATTTAATCCATCAATATTAAAAAATATACATTTAGGATTAAACAAATATTTTATTAAGCCATCTAATTTCCAGGATTAATTTTTATTTAAAAAGACTTAGGTAGAAGATAAGAAATAAAACAGACATTTTAAGTACATTAAATTACATTTTTTTAGTAAATTTATTACAAAAATTATTCATGTAATTAAAAAAGGTTATCTAAACATATATTTATAATTTTTATATAATATATAGATATTAATTGCAGAATCTAGAGCTGCCTGAAGAAAAATTGACCACAGTTCGCCTAATCATATTTATATAATATATATATTACACATAAGGCGCGGCTTGATCATTGATCATTTACCATTACTTCAATAAAGCTTAAAATGATTTTGTTCAGTGCAGACAACATTTCGTCCATATTTATTAGGTCTTTAACTTTAGTTAATAATATATATTTTTGTGTAATTGACAGTTAATTATTTCATGATTCACCATTGCCACTGTCAGTTGCATCATCTTGATAATCATCTTCAGAATTTGCATCTGATTCAACATCTAAATCATAGTCTTCTACATAAAAATCACTATCCATTGCAGCTGCTGAAGTTGAAGAACGAGCAGTTGAACTAACTTTGCAATAATCTTCCAATGTTAGTGGAACTACAACACCATCACGTTCAGCTTCTAATCTTCCACTCACTACTTGTTTTCTAAATTGAAAATAATTGAAAGCATTTAAAGTTTTTTAAATTTTATTAAAATCTTACTTTATAATATTTTCATATTCTTTATCTTTTCCTTTAGAATCTTTCCATCGCCTATACATTATTGAAGCATCAACATTAGCTGGACTAAATGTATTAGGTTCGTTTAAAAGAGAAATCACAGAGAGCAATACTGTCCTGCAAAATGTAAAAATTATAGTTAATTGACTAATTAAAGGTGACTTTTATAGGTTTCAACCCAAATTTCTCAGCTTTGCGAAGCTGAGAAGTGTTTTTTTTACACTATTTATTATACCTATTATATAATTATTATTTTATAATTTAATTAGATATACAAAAAGTAAATAATAATAAAATTTCTATTCATTAGTATAAACTTAGAGGTGACATTAAATTATTTACTAATTATTATATTTTTTTGACATGTGTCAGTTAAAAAAATTATCTAAAGATAATAGAAGGTAATACAGTGGAACCCCGGTAATCCGGCGCCCCTTGTAATCTGACTTGTCTTTTATTATTGAGTATTTTTTTTACAATCTTCGCTAATGTAGATAATGCATGATTGAATCATCACTATTGTGCTCAAAGTATAGATTCTTTGTTTACTGTTTATTCATTATGTATTACGTATACGTACCTAGTAAATTATGTCGTCACAAGCTCAGAAGCAAAAGCACAAAACACTGACAATTAAAGAAAAATGTTATATTTTAGACTGTTTAAATCGCAATAAATCTTTTAGTAGTTTAACAAGTGAATACAGCGTAGGCCGATCTACAATTTATGATATTAAAAAAAATCATGAGAAGATTAAAAACTTCATATCAGCTACTGACTGTGGGCCAGACAAGAGACAGACGTTCAAGAAAGCTGAATATCCAAAAGTGGAAGAAACTTTGTACATGTGGTTTCTTCAGGAAAGAAATAGGCATGCACCTATTTTCGGGATCCATGTTGGCCATGAAAGCTAAATTTTTTTATAAGGAAATTATAAAAAAGATGATTTTTTGGCTAGCAAGAGATGGTTAGAACATTTCAAAAGTCGTTATGGCATATGTTTAATAACTATAACAGGAGAGAAACTTTCTAATGATGCTACCTGCATAGAGCCATTTAAATTAATTTTTTTGCAAAAGATGAAAGATTTAAATCTTAACCCATCACAAGTGTACAATGCAGACGAATCAGGACTTTTTTGGCACGTGATATCAAACAAAACTTTTGTTTCCTATAATGAAAAATCTGTACCTGAGCGAAAAGTAAGTAAAGAGCGTGTAACCATATTACCATGGGTACACACGCGCTAAAAATGGTGGTCGTTGGAAAATCGAATAAACCATGAGCATTAAAAAACATTGATTTGCCTGTATATTATTATGGTCATAAAAATGCGTGGGTGACAAAAGACCTATTCAAGAAGTGGTTTGATGAATGCTTTGTACCAGGTTAAAAAATGGTTGAAAATTTTCCTCAAAAAGCGTTATTGCTTATTGATAACGCTCCCAGTCATCCGTATGAAGAAGACCTGACAACTAAGGATAAATGCATCACTGCGATGTTACTTTCACCAAATTGCACTGCACTGATTCAACCAATGGATCAGCATATCATTCAGTTTGTCAAGCAAGATTATAAGAAAAATCTACTTCTGAGAGCTGTATCAAAAGATCAGCCGATAGAAAAAACTTTAAAAGAATTCAATATGAAAGACTTGGTTTTTGCTCTTTGTCAATCGTGGAATGCATTACCTTCGTCAACTATTACATCGACTTGGAAAGTTATGACCGGATATAGTCATCAGTCCTAGCAACAATCCACAAATCAGTATAACTTCGGAAGTAATAGAGAAAGTTACTGCTGAAACACAAATAAGATCGCAAGATTTGAAAATCTGGTACCATGGAATGGATAAGGAGGATAATATTTTTTATGAAATGTCTAACGATGAGATTATAAAAGAGATATCTAGTAATACAACCATAAATCAGGAAGATAACGACGTAATTGCAACTACTCCACAAGTGATAGCACAAGATGCAGCTAACGCCTTTGAACTGGGTTTGCAATGGGCTGAGGAGAATGGTGCATCCTACAACAAACTTTTACTTTTAAGAAGACTGAGGGACAGAGCATTGGTCTTGCGTTTCAATAATGTTAAGCAAAAAAAAATTGATAAATATTTTCATGCTTTATAAATTCATATCATGATTTTTATTCATAATTTTTGACTATTTTAGTATGTACATTTGTTTAAAAACAATTACATTGTAATTGTATTCCTTAATGTAAAGTTATTGTTTTTTGTAAGTTCTCTAGCATTAATGACGTTAATTTTATAATAAAACATAAGCTTTCTATTGTGTTGTTTAATTTACAGTTGTTTAAGTTGACATACATAATGAAGCATGATTTGTACTTCACACCAGGGCCTGTCAAGACCAAATCTTATCTTTGGATTTGTGAATTTTCGGATTATAAGGTACCCTTTTGTTAAAAGTTCCAGACTATAGGAGGTCTTAGGGAATACTCTATAATCCGACAAATTCAATAGTTCGACACTGACCTGCAAAACGTTTGTCGGATTACCGGGGTCCACTGTAATCTATTTGTACATACTAGGTTTTTAAATAAATTTAAAGGTGGAAATAAGGAATTAAATTCACATTAATTGTATATGTACATTATTATATATATTTTATTTTGTATAAAAGTTTGATATTAAAAAACAAAGTGTACTTATATCATCTTATGATTTAATAATATCATTTTATTCCAAAGTAAAATAATAATAATAAATATAATAAAAACTAAAAATGTATATTAATGAGTGTTGTTCTCAAACTATATTTGTAAAAACTTGCAAATACTTTACATATTTATGTGTAATGAATAAAATAGTTAGAAAATGAAGTAAGTATTAAAAAAATAACATATTTTCAAAAAAGTACAAAATTAATTATTTATAATTCAAAAAATTAATTTTACCTGACACTTTGGGTTGGGTTCCACCTTTCACAAGGTAATTCACCAGATTGAGGGTCATCTATTGGTGGATGAAGGATTGAAATACACAAATCACCATTCTTAAATTAAATAAAAACTGATTAAATATATTACAAGATATATACAAAATAAGCACATTTTAAATATAGGGGTGATTCTTTTAATACTTATTCACTCGATTTCTCTTAAAGCAATAATTTGTTGGGCTTTTGTTAATTAAATATTATGTAACTAATATGAATACATATTATGTATTTCCAATTATGTGTTATAAAATATTTTTAATGTTTATACCTTATAGGAGGGTTGGCCTTAATTTTTTAAATGGCAATATAATATTAAAATATCTTAAAAATAATTTCATACTAATTTGAGAAAGATTATTTAAAAATGATGTTACTTAACTTAAATATAATTATAGATTATAATATTTTTTAAGAAATAAAATGAATTTACTTATTTAGGAAATAAATCTTGAATGTTATAAGGTTTAGATCTACATATATGTCTATTAACTAAACTTCTAATTTTTATAGAACAGTAATATTTATAATATTTCTATGTATACTTTTAAGCTTATAAGACTTTAAGTAAAAATAGTAACAATTCTTACAAAGAATAATTTTAATTAGAATAAACTCATAATTATAACCAAGTAAATAAATGTAAATCCTTGACTTACAATAACTTGTCATATTCAAATGGGTCTCTACTAAGCAAACCTCAGTAAAAAAACAAATATTTATTCAGACTCAATTATCTCACACTTAAAAATCACAGATTACCTTGATTTACAGTACAAGATTAAACTGGAATTTTATGCAATAAACTAACCACAAATAGATATAATAAACATGTTTATTAAACAACATAACCATATTCATTGGTTTAGTCATATAAGGACATAAACTTGACAATAATCCAGAGTTGTATGACTTTCTTAATAAATTGACCTTGACACAAAGAATCAAAATATTACCTAGTTGATAAATATTGAAGTAATTCTTTATTACCATTTTGAACTCATATGACTGATAAAAAAAATTATTATTTACTATTAACTTAACATTTTATTCTTATTAAATATTGTTAAATTAAATTTAGTATTTGATTTATAAGTGAATAAATACTTTTTAGGTTCTTCCATTTCCCTTATAAAGGTACCAACATTATTTTTTTAATGACAAAATACATATTTTACTAGTTCATTTAATAGATAATAAAGGGATAGTATGGCTGAGTCGGTAATGTGGCAGTGATTGATGCACACTGCCTCAAGTTTGAAACGGGTCGGTCACGAGCGACTTCATTAGCCGAACAAGAGAAAATTTCAGTAATTGGAATCACCATCCCTCTCTCTGGCAAATGGACTAAACACCCATGTCCAAGAGTTGTTAATGATTAAGAAAACCTTCCCTTCCTTTGGGGAGATCAATAATGAGTCTAAAAAGCTAAAAAAAAAAAAAAATAGATATAATGATCCTATCAAATTACTGGTATTCAAATAAAAATGTTTGACCTAGTAGTCAGTAGTTATGAATATTTTTATACCTGGGTGGAATAGTGTGGCAAAGGAATACATAATGATAAAAATTACATGACCAGCACTATTGCATCCATATACATTACAAAATATTAATAGCTTCTGAAATACTGGTTCAAAAGTTAATATCGACCAGTAATTTTCTTATATACATCATTTTCTAATATTTAATCTATTAAATTATTTATGTTACCATTAAAAAAAATAAAGTTGGTATCCTTATAAGGGTCAGACTTAAAAATATTTAACTATTTATAAATAAAAAATAAATAATACCAACTAAAATTTAAAAAAAATGTTGGTTGGGTTTATTTTTAAAATATTTTAATTTTAATTTAAATATTTTAATTATTTTAAAAAAATTATTTTTATTTTAGGGAAAATTTAGCAGTCAATAATTTTTCATATATTATGTTATTTCCTATATGATTCCTATATGATATTTATGTAAAGGTACAAGCAATGCTTTGAGATAGAGATTAGAACTAATAAAAATAAAAATACTGTGATAAAGAAAATTAGATGACATATCAAAACATTCTATTTTTATTTTAATTCTATACAAATTATAATAGAAACTATTTATAAAAAAAATGACTTACTTCATAAACATTAGGATGCCATACTTTTGTTAAAAATCTAATGCTTGGTGGTGAATATGGATAATCAGCTGGAAACTTCATATGTGCCTATAAAATTGATAGTAACCAATTAAAAGTTTAGTTTTAGTTAAAAACACTCTGTGGATATTTTCTAAATGCTAATAGGTCAATTTTAACAATTTTTCAGGAAAGCAAAAAGAAATTTAAAATTTCAATGGTATCAATGGTAAACTGACTCATAAACTGCAGAGCTCTTTTTTGCACTTAAAAATGAAATGCAAAAAAAAAAAAAAGCCTTACCAACAAAATAGATAACTTTTTTTTGGTACATAACAGATATTACCCTTTGTCATACATATAATTACATATAAGAATACAATTTAAAAACTGTATTCTAGTGACTCAGCAGTTTTTTGATAAAAACCACATAATTTATTTAGTATTAAATTTAATATATTGAAATATATTAATTGAAAATATTTTTTTTATGGAAAAAAAATTTTGAAATTAAAAATAAATTGAATATATTTTGAAAATACAATTTGTTTTTAAGATTGAAGCTCATCTTTTAATTTTTTGATAATCTATGTTTAAATTTAGATAAAGTGAAACTCATACTTATTTAGGGAGAATTTTTTTATTATTTCAAGATCAAAAATATGACGATATGAAAGTATTAAAAACATTATTTAATAAATCCAACAATTTTGATTGTAAAACAATTTTTTTTAACAAACAGATAGTTGGTAATTTGAAACAATTATGTAAAAGAAAGTTATTAAATTAGTTTTTTAATTACATTATAGTTGTTGAAACAATATTTTTGTTATATTCAAGAACAATATGAAATATTGTTCCAAAATCTACAACTTGATAAAAAATGAATTAGAATTCATAATTCATTTTTATTTGCTTTAAAAGATATCTCAATAAGAATTACAATAATCAAAACTGATAGTTATATTAAATAAAATTTAATTTTTAAAGAAATAATGTTTTTAATCCCTGAAAATATGTAAAATAAAATATAACTTAAATAGTTTTGAAAATCTACATTTATTTAGATATAATGCTTTTAAAATTGGTAGTAAGTCTTTAACTTTCATGAATTTACTATTTGTAAAAATATAACATACTTAATGATTATTAGTAGTATGACATTAAATAATAAATAAATGTTGAACATAACTTTATATATCCAACATTTAACATATGGTTTTAAAAACTATTTTGTATAGGTATTCATTGTTTGATTAATTGAATTATGTCGCCTCCAAATACCTTATAGCAGGGACAACTGCTATAGAAGAATTTCACAAGCACACAATTATTCACAACAGTTTCAGCGATACTCTAAACCTTATATGCTTCAGAGGTACGATACTCTACCCCAAATTCCATGTGTCAATTTAATATTTTTACTGAAAATAGTACTTTAGAAGGGTCGAGTAAGAAAGTATATGTATTATAAATTTTTATTTCAACTTAAAATACTTTTCCAAGCCACTCCAAAATTATTTTAAATATTTATATATGTGCTTGTATATTAATAATAAATTCTGCGACATAGAACTTACAATGAAAGCATTATCAATAAAAAATACCTTAAAATATCCTCCTTGGTAGAGGGTTTCTGGTGGTCCAAATATTGCTACCTCCCATTCTCTTAAATTATCATCAATTAACTTGACTCTAAATCCCTCAACCGGTTCTTCCTGTAAACTTTTGTACTCGTGTGCAAGGGCTCTGTGGGCACTTGATGATAAATTCTGATTATTAGCCATAAATGTTCGTAAAATAGACTATGAATATAAATAACAACCACGTTTATGTAAATCGAAATTACAAAATATACATTATGAAAGAGCTACTCCAAAAATGAACTGCGCATTTTAATAGACACAAAACTTTTCAATACAAAGATACTAAATATTTTGTAATAATTATACGGTGTAATTTTTTAAACTAATAGTGATGCGATTGTTAAAAAACGGATATTTCTCTTGTATATTAGTAAAACTTATACGATTAAATTTAACATTAGATAACTAACATAGATTCAAAATATTATTTTAATTCACAGTTAAGCAATAAAACAAAAGTAAAATAGATATTATGAAAAAAAATTGTACAATTGCTTTTAATAAAAGTTATTCTGTAAAATCAAATTGGAGATTCATAATCCGTATGGTAAGAAATTACGCATAGCATGAAAATCGTACATATACTTTTTTGTATGTGTAAAAATTAATAATAAGTGGGTAAAAGGCAAAATAATACAACGTGATGATTGATGAGAGGGGCAAACAATAGCGCAAGGTTGCCAGCCAACATAAAAACAGCTGTTGGTCTATGTGAAATCTCTGGTATCTATGGTATAAGTGGTTGTAAATATTACCAAAAACTAGACATTAATGACCTTTAATGGCGGGAAATACATTATAAAGTTATATTAGTTGCCCATACAAAATTTATTAGGAGTAACGAAATTATAAAAAAAATATTTATATGTATATTTATGTTACAGCAGTACCGGCTTGAAGTTTGATCAACGTGTATGATGCATAGAGTGTCAACATTTAAGGAAAATGCGATATGATACAATTTTTCAAGATTAGAACGCGTATTTTTTTGTCTTATCAAATAAAAAAAAAATGCTTATACATTTTTTATGGGGCGTTAAAATAATGACCGTAAACGTGGGTAGAATACTTTCCTGAATGAACATCTTGGGAATACTTTTTTATAACCTCTACCTAATCTAAAAAATTATTAATAAATCTAAATGATGCAATTTATATAATCTTAAATAATCGAGGATTTTGTGGGAAGTACATTTATTCTAAATACCAATATTTTATTGCAAAATAATTTTTTTAAGTAAGTATTCGGTGTCTTTGTAATTTTTAATATATTAAGGAATACTTTACAAAAAATAAATACATTTTATAATGCAAAATGTCAATATTTAAAATTTTCGCGCATCACCATTGATGTTTTTGGTCTGAGTAATATATTTTATTTAATAAATAAAATAAAAAAATAATATTTAGAGTTAATGTAATGATTCAAAAAATTATTTGAAGAGGTATTCAAATAAGTATTCTAACTAAGCATGGTACAAGTTCCTAAAAGGTTGACACTGTGTTACAATCTTTCTTGTTGTATAAAAATCTCAATTCAAATTAATTGTATTCAGGATATTTAAATACCAGCTATATGTATTTTAAGAATCTAAATCATTATTAAATTAAAGAAAAAAACAGGGCTTCAGAAATATATTACAGAATAATCAACACACAATGCTATTCAATATTACATCATTCGCATTGAAATTTAAAACTAAAATAAAATATTTTTCCATTGTAACGAAGCTACGTTAATTAGAGAGATCATTAAATGAACGCTAACACCGTCATATAACCCTTGTTTTAGTGGCTGTACAGCCAAACAAAGCGATACTTTTTATGTGCCATTTTAGCAAACAATGCATGGTAAGAATTATCCATTAATAAGACGCATGCTATTTGTAAATAATTATAATGTTGATATTTGTATTTATAATTTTATTACTTCTTTTAATGCGTATCTTAATAACTTAATTACTTTAGTTTAATTGTAATGTATACATAACTCTCATAATTTATAGTACCTTAATTTTTTTATATATATTATTTTATTAATATATTTTTAGTGGGCATTTTGTCCGTTTGAATTCACAATAAATAAATAAATATTGAAGTCCAATTTTTAAAATAGAGGTCCTATATCATAAGTAGCATTATAAGATACTTAGCACAAGTGTTATATTTTATCCTGTGTTTTAATAAAAAAATAAAAACTTCCAAGCTTAAGTAAATTGATAATTCTATATTACGGAAGTTGGTAACCGTAGCTATAAATTTATAGAAGTTGTGTTTAGTAAAAATACTAAAAATGAGAAAACAATTAAAAATGTAAACAATTATGACCTTGGGTTTTACCAAATCGGTTTTCGTGTCTACTTGTAAAACATGCAATCTACAATTTTATATTTATTAAAAATAAAAAAATTATTAAATTATAAATCTTATCATATTTTGATTTGCGTGTGACAGGAGACAATATATTCAGCAGATGATTCATTTAAAATAAATTTTAAGATGATTTGTGAGCCGTTTTTTGACGTTACTCAGTAAGTATTAAAAAGAAATAAGATAAATTTTGTTATAAATACATTAAATTGTTTTTCATTAAATATTTTATGTATTTTCATTTGAATAAATTAGTGATATTTTGCATAAAATTTTTTTTATTTTTACAAAGGGTTTGTTTGTTTTGTTTTTTTTTTAATTTTCAAAGAGTTTTACTAAAAATTTTGTAAAATTTACGATTTTTACTTCAAACTATATAGTAGTACAAGTTTTGAATTATTAAAAGAGGAAAAATATCTGTATTAGAGTACATATTCGTTGTAGGACAACAATATTTATTTTATAAATATCCATATATACTCTAAATTACTTAACAACTATAGGTTTTTTGTATTTATCTTATGAAAGTATGTGTATGTACATTTAATACATGTTTAAAACTATACAAGATTATTTACTAGAAATATTGCAAAAATAAATAAAATATTATCTTTTAATTTGCCCTTTATGGATAAAAGTTAATTTAACGGGCTGTAATTTTATATTTAGTTCAGCAATAAGCGTTTAAAAATAATCACGAATAAACGATTTAAAAAACAATAAAAAATAGTTGTTTTGGTCGGCAAAATAAAGGTTTCAGAACGAAGTGCCTTGTGTACATAAGCATAATAATAATAATACAAATTTATGTTTGATAAGTGAATTCCTATCAATTACTTTTTATTTGAAAAAATGACCGTTTTGCTTTGCAATGAAAAGTGTTAACTTTTACAATGAATTTTTGTCCATTTTAATGACTCTGTAAATTATGTAAATATATTATTTTTGATATTCATTGACCAAATTTTTAATCTTGTTGTTGACTATCTAAAGAAAATTGTAGTGTATAATTTATTTTTTCATTAGACTTTAATTACAGATTTAACACTAGTGGCGTATATAACAGAAACGCATTGTGCCTCGTGTCCTATAAATTTAAGTTCTCTTCTATTCTACCAATATGAGCAATGTACTGGATTTCCTATTTTCTTCAACTAATATTAATGTACTGACTTAAGAGGATATAAGGCGCAATTTTTTTTTCAACACTTCAAATTTAGAAATAAAATATCTCCCTCCCTTCAAAAGTGCACAATTTATATAGTTAATATGATACGGCAATGCAATTCTCAAGCTAGCAAATGAATATTATAAAATTATTTATTTTATTTACTCTATATGACCTAACTTTGTTCCAAATTTTATATTTTTACCTATAGGGAAAGTGTCTCATAATTTTAAGTCAGTTAGTTAGTAATAAAAATGAATATTTTAAAATTCTCCTATGTTGAAATAACTTAACATTAAGGGCTAATTTTTTTTAGTGTTATAACCTACTAGAGTATAATCTATGTTTTAAATCTCAAAAGCCTACCTCGAGAAGAAACAGAGATACTAAGGTTAGAAAAACCGGGCAAGTTCTTTCGTGTTTTTAACACTAGTACTTCTAGAAATTGGTCTGGCCCACTGCCGTGCGTTTAGATCTAGTGGGACGATAATATTATTGTTTTCGTTGGCTTAACTTTAAATAATGGAACAGGCTATACTAATTTATAGTACGTATTACTTGAATTATTACTTCTTTTATTTTCTTATAAATTGACTTTAATTGGCAACAAGCTTAAAGTAACGTGGTATATTTTAAATTTGACATAGATCGAATGATTAAGTTCAAAATAAATTATGATAGATTCGTATTGATCAATATTTGCGACAATCGGTATTAATATTTTTGCATGATTAATAATATTCTAAATAAGGACAACGACAATGTGGAAACGTTAATCACATTTATTTTTATAAATGTTTGTATTGTGCACTGTATATTACTAATAATATTTTACATTCTCCTCCGATTACCATTTTCGGTGTGTCTCAATAACTGTGTGTATATGCACAGCGGATAACTTGGCTGCCCACAACCGCCGTCCTACGGTACATGGAAGACTGCATCGTTGACTTTATGAAGGTTTGAGTGGGAGTGCCTTACATGGTTCGGAGACTCAACGAGATAAATAGTAATGTTTGACCGGTTCTTTTTACACAGGCAAACTATTTTAAAAACGGCAATACTTTTATATTTATTTGCAAATACTTGGGCTATAGTCAATAAAAAATAAACTCTGTTATTTTTTTTTATCAATATAAAATAAATAAGTTTTACTTTTATCAAAAAAAAAAAAAACACAAAATTTATTTAAATTCAATTAATTAGTCATTAAACTATATAGGTACAACTAGGAATAAACACTCGTATTTATAAACCAACAAAAAATCGTTATACATTTTTTTAGAAAACCTAGAAAAACAGATACTAGTCAACGTTACAGTAATTTCGTGATGTAACAATAGAGTTACATATGCTATTAGTAGAAGAGCGAAATCTTAACACGGTATACGCTTAAATATTTGAAAGTACATGACATTTTAATAAATACGCGATTATACGCAGTATATCCTTCAAAACAATTTTAATGTTAATATATATCAATATTTTTATACTGATAATTATTACTTTTAATTATTACTGTTAATTTCTAAAAAGCTTGAGTTTATTATTGGGTTTAATAAGGCTCATTAAGCTTAGAAAGCATAGAAAAGTTTAGTTTATTAAATATTTTATTTTATTTTCACTTTATGAAAAATGTTCATTAAAAACAAAGTCGAGCGGTGAGATATGGAAACGCAATGCAAATCTAAAACTTGTAATCACGGTTCAGCGGGTTTGTATTTATTACAATATAATAAATATAAACTCGTCATGTTACATTTAATATAATACATGTTATGTATTATTTTTAATATTTCACTAAAAGATTTCAGATTAAACAAACAAGTTATTGTGATATTAGTTAAGCGATATTGAAAATTCAAAAAATAAAACAATAGAATTATTCATTTTTATAAACACATCTTAATTGATCAATAACGTAGAGGAGATTTACTTAATATGAAATATTAATTTTTTTTAATTATTTACTGGAAAATAGTTAGTCAATACTTAGAATTTGAATAATATATTTGAGTCATGAACATATTTATATTAAATCTTCAGTAGATTGATAAATTTAATCTATTTACTTTGAATAAACTTTTTGATAATGTGACTATTTTGTTATTTATTTAGTTTTACGGGATCTGATTTTATTTTCAATAAAGTAATTATAAATATTAAAAATCAAATAATAAATTATAAAACAATATTTATTATTTTATACTTAAACATTATTTTTTAAGTGTAATATTCTTGACTAAATTAATTTTTTTATAAAATTTTGTTATATTAAAAATATTAAGTTTAATATTCTATAAATAATATGTGCAATCAAAAGGGTGCTAATATGACAGAGGTGTCATTTAAGGGGGTGGCATTTTAAGCAGTTTATAATTTTTAGCGAAAACTGAGGCCGATTACTGCATACTCTAGTTGACTGAGCCATACATTGAGCTAGCCTATTCTTCGTTAAAAAAAATTTCTAAAAATATAAGTGATGTAGTGAAACAGAAAAATACACTTAATTATTCATATTTAATTATTTAAAATACAAAAGAAACCCGATTTTAATAGCCTTTCTCTTTCTCTCTCTGTTGTCATAATCAGATATTATAGATTTTTACTTCGCAAAACATTGCATCTTAGATAGTTCAACTGTCAAAATAAAAGAAACAGTTCTTTGATTATATTATTAATAATGTTTAAATCTTAGTAAGTAACATTATATTCTTAAATTTAAACAATATTTATATTAAGTATATCAACGTTATCGTTGTCTGAAATTTATTTTTAAGTATTTTAATTTGTAACAATACATTTTTGAATAAATATATTGTAAAAAATAGGATATTAGAAGAATGTGGGCAGGCTTCTCCTTACAAGACTACAAAGATGACCTCCTTTTAGCACCCCCAGAAATTTTGGTCTAGTTGTTCCAATAACTAAAATTGATATTAAAATAAAATATAATAATTAAAATTATTTTTAACTAATTAAAAATAAGTAATAATAATAATAGTAGGCAAATCTTCTTCTTTAAATTTTGATCAAGTAAAATAAGTGGTAAACGTACATAATTATAAATAGGATATTATAAGTTATGTATTCATTGAGTTTTTGATTCATAAATATCTTTAATTCTATCCAGAACATCAATTTATTGTATTGCACTAATATGTGATATTAGTCTGAATCTCTCTTTCTATTGTTGTGTAATAAGTATACTGAATCAAATAATAAAACTAGTCCGTTATGGGTTCAATTAATTTCTTTATTTGGTTTAACCTTGTAAATGTATACAGAAATAAGTAACGAATATTTTCAAAAAACTATACAGCATATGCATTTTGTTGTGAATACTAAAATGAGTAATCGATAGCTACATGCAATATACAAGGCGATTATCTTATCATGAACAACTTAATCAAACAATAAAAAATAATATTAATAATTTGTTTCTTTTAATATCAGTGATAACAATACGGAGAAAAAAATTTACTTTTTTTTACTAAATATTACAATTAAAACAAATATTACACTATTTTATTAAATAAAATTTTCATTTTGGCTATGGTTAAAATAACAGACTAAAAGTAACAGATTACAGTTTGTCAAAATCCCTCAAATTTTACTATTATGTTTTAAATAAGTTTAAATTAAATCTTATTAATTTTTATGTTGAAATTCATGCATTTATATCAATATAATATTAAACAGTCTATTATAAAATAGTTACAATCTAAAGTTTTGAAACTTGATTTTTAAGAATTAATTAATGACTTTGATAAAATTGATTTATATAAATATAACTATCCACTAAAAATAAATAGCTAATTTTGCAAGTAAAGTTCGACTTTAAGAACAAGATTTATTTTATTTATGTAATTGTTTTAATATGTTGTAATGTTTTTATAATAATGAAATATTAATAGAAATATAACTAGGGTTTATAATGTAATACTAATCATAAAAAATATAAAAGTCTTTCAAAGTATTATTTTTAAACCATTGTTAGAGAGTAATTTGCAAAGGAACAAAATGATGAGTAAGTATTGAAATTGTCATATAGTGTAGGATGAAACTGGTTTAAGAGTGTCAAACCAATATTGCGGAGGTTTATGAAGGCGTTCCGGAGGGAGTCCACCTCTTCAATCTGTAAAATGAATGTTAGTATCTTATTTTGAGCTAACAGTAGTGAAATAACATTACGCTCATTCGTTTTATTGTTAAGGCTGTGTTTGGTTTTTGAGTGATAAAAACGCGTACCGGTTACATTTATTATAGTTAAAAAGTGAAAATAATTATACAAATAATAAATTTTAATAAAAAACAAAGTATAAAAAATTTATTTTGTGATATATTAAATTATAAAATGTTTAAATCAACAAAAAAAACTAAGGATCCAACAAAAAGTAGTAATACAAAAAATTTAAAGGTAAGTGAAAATAATATTATGACAGAAAGAGATAGCGTAGAACAAAAACAACTGTTTAGCTCTAAAGTTGCAAATGAACAGCCTACCAACTTAAGTGGAAAAGGTCGTAGTTCAACGCCGCAAACTTCAAAGAAAACTTTAGTAAAATCAATAGCTTCGAAGCAAGAATCTGAAACTAAATCGTCGTCAATTGAAAGATTGTCAAGTTCTTCATCTACGACAACAACTGCTGTTTCAGGTAAAACAATAAAGACTACCACTACCGTCGATAAAGACGGAAATATTCGTACTCATGTTGAAACAGTGGAAGATTTACCTAAAAAAACAACTAATACAACTGGTGATAAATTAAGCACCATAAATCTATCAACTCAATCTTCTGGAGGGCAAGTTAATTTATTCGGTTCTTCTATGAATAATACAGACGTATCTCAAAAAGTTTTCAGCGAAACTCGGCACAATTCATCAATTATTGGCGATGAAACAAGTAGTACATTAAGCTTGAATAGCTTAAAACTTCCAAATACTGCAAAAGATATCACACAAAATGATGATTTTTACTCTGTTAAATTAGTAAATGGAAAGATCATAAAATCATTGAATACTAAAAATGATATATCAGATGGTTTACTTTTAAACAAAAAAAGTAATAAAGAAACACATATTAAGGAATCTGAGAAATCTACTTCAAAAATAATAAATGAACCTTTGGTTCAGCAAAAACGTATATCTCAATTAGAAGAAAGTGAAGTTCAAATAAAATCTGATGATATAAAATCAAACACTGAAAACAGTAAAATAAAATCACATGATAAGTTATTTACCAATAATAATATAACTATTTCTTCAGACAATTCACAACCTAACCAATCTAATAAAAATCTGTCTACATTAAAATCAGTTTCAAATAAAATGGACAATAATAGTTTAAATGTATCAAATTTTGTAGCTAGTGCACAATCATCGTATACAAGTTCAAAGAAAGAAACCCAAAAATCAGATTTCTTGACATTAAGAAATTCAAAAACACTTTCAATGAAAAATGAACAGTCTTTACCAAAAATACAAACAACTTCCTCTAGTTCTACTGAAGTTGAACAAATAGATACAGATAGATTATCTGTTCGTATGATTGGAGGTAAATTAATAAAAGAATTTAAAGAACCAGCAAGTGTCACAAAAACAAAATCAAATTTTAACAATAAATCGTTATCCAGTGACTTTAATACATTTACAACGAATGAACAGTCATCATTTTCAAATGTTGAAGAAACCAGTGAATCTAGTTCAATATCCTCAAAAGTCTCACAAAATATTAAAAATGCTAAATTTGACAAAAATGATAAATCTAAAACAAAATCAAAAGTAATTACAGAAAATACTTCTTTAACTACTAACGATAACACTAAGGTAGGAGGATTAAATATTCGTATGGTTGGTGATAAATTAATAGAAGATTTTAAAGATATAAAACCAAGTTCGAATAAAAAATCGCTGCCAAATAATTTTAGTACAACTTTAAAAACCAGTGAACAGTCATCAATTTCTAATACTATTAAAGGAACCAATGAATTAAGTTCAATGTCATCAAAAACTTCGCAATATATAAATAATTCTAATTTTGACAAAAAAGATAAGTTCTTATGTAATAAAGAGTCAAAAGAAAATACAGAAAATATATTTTCAGCTAAAAGTACTGAGAAAGAAGGATTAACTGTACGTATGGTTGGCGGTAAATTAATAAAATCATTTAAAGAGCCAACAAACCAGAAAATAGTTAAATCAAATACTAACATAGATACAACGATTTTGTCTAATAACATTAACACTATAGTAACCAATGAAAAATCGTATTTTTCAAGTTCAAAAGAAGAAAATGAAATGTCAAACTCAATTACATCTAAAATTTCAAACTCCATGGATAAAATACCTTTCGATAAGAAGAAAGAGCCAAAAACACAAACAAAAAATTTATTACTAAATTCTACAATTTCTTTAGTAAACTTGGATGATGAAAATCTATCTGTTGAAAATACATTTTCAACCACAAACGAAAGTACTGAGAAAGAAACGGTACGCATGGTTGGTGGTGAGTTAATGAAATCATTTAAAGAACCATCAAACAGAGTAAGAACAACATATAATGTAAGTGACTCGGCTCATTCTTTAAATGACACATCATTATATTCAACGTCAAGTACTTTACATGCTCAGTCTACTAAAATCGCTGATATCCAAATTTCAAGTGCATCAAAAGATACTTTAATAAAAGACGATCAGCCGAATGCATCAAACGAAAAAGATTTTAAAAATCAAAGTAGACCTCAAGTAAAACCACGAAAGATAAATAAAGAGCCCGCTGATTTTTCAAATGATATTACTGATAATATTGTCCATAGTCAAATTTATGATGCATCCCAAAATACTTTTGTACAATCACATACATTTTCTGATGAATCTGTTGTTCAAGGCTTTCACTTCACTTCGAAAAGTAGTGAATTTTTTTCCGATTCACCAACAATAAATCACAATTTAATTGATACGACAGTTGTTCAAGATGTTACTAATATAGTATCAGATACAAATATAGCCGAAGTATTGGATAGTAGAGTTGTTTTAGAAAATGTATTAAAAAAGTCAACAATAAGTAAGTTAGAACAAAATCTTGAAAATCGATCTACTTCGGAATACACTGCACGAGAGAATAAATCTAATACAGGCTCAAAGAAAAAACAAAAAGAAACTACAACTGTAACAAAGGAGCAATGCATTTGTGAGATTTGTACTTGTGGGTAAGTCAATAATAGATTCATTTTAATTTTTATGTGTTTATAATTATGACCCTTTTCTAAGCTAAAATTGTGAATACATAAAATAATTATTTTTGTTGACTGAATAATATTTTTTAAATTTTGTATCTTATTTAAATAATTTTTTTGATAGCATTCTTTTATATTGAAAAACTGCAGACTAAAACGATTGAATTAGGCCGGTTTGGAGGAAGGAGGTGTGACACACTCTCTTTTAGGACAGCCCTGGAAATAAAGTTTAAAAATAATGATTAAAATCGCCATACAAAAATAATAATTAATATAATTTAGTTTTAGTTGAAGCTGTATACAAGTTATGGTTTTTTTGTTGTCGTTAATTTGTTAAGTCAATAGGTTCCATTTACGTTTGAGTCTTCGTGGTGGGTTGTCAGGTATTGAAGTTGTGTACATTTTTTTAATTAAAGGGTTTGAATTTGTATTAAGTTTTGAGTGAAATCTAGTATAGTGTTACCAATGGGTGACTTTTTTTAACGCTATTAATGTTATGTAATTGAATAAGTCAACAAAAAAACTTATTGTAAATTTTATGTACAGATTGTTTTTTTTAATAAAGAGAAAAAACAAAAAAAAATAAAAATACAATTTAAAACTTATTTTACTAAAGTATTTTGTAAGTGTACACTATTACACTATTAGTTTACATTACTTATAATACATTATTATTTATCAAATTAATCTAAATGAAAAAACATAAAACACAAAATATTCAATTTCTATTAAAACATTTACGTAAAAAATAAAGAAATAATATAAAATACGGTATATAGATAATAAATAATGTATAAATACACAAAAAATAAATTAAGTAATAATTCGCTACTATCGCAGAAAGAATAACTATAGTAGGTTAATTTTTTAATATATAAGTGTATGCAGTGTATAAAAAGTTACAACAACTAATAAAAATCAAATAATTTTGCTGGGGGTGCTTAACTAATTTTGAAATCTTAAAAAAAAAATTATAATAATAAAAGAAAAAAAAATGTCATAGCTTTTATAAAAAACATATTATTGTGGTTTAAATATTTTTCAAAATGTTGTGGCAGTTTTAAGTCCACAAAATGAAAAAATATTGGAATTTTTCGACTTTGGAAATATTAATTTTATAGAAAATTTTTCTTATTTACAAGGAATGAGAATTTTTTTTCTTCTAATTTTAAGGTGATTTTTTCAACTTGATACAATTTATGATTATTTAATGTGTTATTGAGAAATATCAGTCTAGAACGAGCAGAATATTTATTTCAACAAACACAAAAAAAAACTATAGTAAAATTAATAACTCCTTAGACTTGCGAAGATAAACATTTTTTGTTTTACATTAATTAATATAACAGATAATTGAATATAATTCAATACACAATTGATTAATTATTTAATTTTATCAAAATATTTAGTTACGTTACATTCCACATTCTTTGCAATATCTATTTTTAATTAATAAAAAAATGTAGTGTTTTAATAGAATTGTACCTTTAAAATAGTAAAAACAAGTCTATGGTATATTTTGAATATTTAGAGGTAATTCTACTGGATAGGTTTATTATTTGACGTAAATGTGAATTTCTCAATTATTTGATTATAACAATAAGTTTTTATTTCAAATTTTTTCTTTAGCACTGATGTGTAAAATATAAATAAATTTAATTTAAAAGTTTTAGTTTTTTAGTCTCATGTAAAATAAGATCAAGTTATTAAAATTGTAACGAGAATATTTCTCGGGAATATGGACTAAGTCCTTTTCAGTGGATTGCTACGCCATCAGCTGTGTTACGTGTTACTAATCAGATGATGTATAAATAATTCCTTTTATGGTTCGCATAATTTTTTTGCACGAGGTCAACCCTTTCAGACAGGAGTTATACATATGTTGCGCTATTCCCACTTACTTACCATGACGCCAGTAGTATACAATCACGACGTTGCTTTCTATCGTTTTCCTTCATTCAAATGAGATTATGACTTGAAGTATCTGTATGATTTTATGTATCAAAATAGTTGGCCATTGGTTAACTTAACTTTCTATTTTTATTTATTATTTTTAATATGAATACACTTTTGTACTGAGTGCAAATTTTTCATTCAATATTACACTTTAACTGTGTGATAAATCCTATTTAAAACTAAACTCATTATTTGTTTACAAATAAAAGATAATGTTGATAATAGATTTTCTAAATAATAACAATGAAAAGTAGATAAATAAAAGTAATAAGTCTTTTTTTAATTTTCTTTTTTATGTTATTAGTTATATTAAATGAATTGGGGTTGTGCGAATAAAATATGCGTTATAAATATACACCAGTACGGGGTAAATAAATACCCATATAAGGTATAAGGGATAAATTAAAAAAGTACTTAATAATTATGAAATTAAAAAATACCAGAGATTTTGTTTAACATGATTATTATTTTAAGAAATATTTAGTAGTTAGCGTTAAAAGAATCACTTTGTATATAAATACATTATTAAACCGTTCCTCTCATTAACGCAATCTGGATTCATATCTATATTTATTATATTTTAATATAATTAGTTTTACTCCTTCTAATTATTATTAAAAATAAAATTATTCACTAAAGAAATTAACTGCTGTATGCATCTTATAGTATATCTAATTAATTGTGTATTGTGTTTAACTGATTTAAAAATTACAAATTTTTTCTATTGTGTAAATACTTAGTTGATTCGTTACATATTTGTATACATTATATGACAACGTACATAAATATAACATATTATAATACAGGGTGGTTTTCTAGAAATTAATTTTTTCAGAATCTATTGAGATTTAAATTTTTTTTTTTTTTTAATATTAGATTCTACGCTGGTAAGTATAGTTCGACTGGTATATTTGAATTCCAATGACGCTACAAACCCACTCTATGTATTAATATTCTGTAACAAATGAAGTCTATTCGAAAAAAAATATAAGAAAATTAAAAAAAAAAATTTTTTTAATGTAGTTCCTATTTAAGTAAATCAAGTTATGGTTATTTATCTCTGAAGATGTAAAAAACAATTATTTAACTATATCTTCTTGTAGTTTATTTAACCTAATAATGTTTCTCTTTACAAAAAAGTAATAATTTAAAAATCTCAATAGTTTCTGAGTAAATGAGCGTCTTACCAAATTTGGATCATTCTGTATAATATTATATACTTCTTTATGAACTTATTTGACCTTGATTAAAAACTGGTCATTACGGGTTACGGATAATTAAGTTTTGATTCAATTTTAAAGCTTACACCTTGTATCATTGTTAGGGTGTTTATAGTGATATAAGTGCTGTAACAATGCATGTATACACATAATAAACTGTATATTCTTCTATTGTACTTATTTTATAACTTTTTTGTTATACACGTTAATTTTTAAGTTTCAAGTGAGCCATTTTTTTTTAGAATGATTGATATTTCCGTCAAAAAGCCATGAATTTTATAGTGTACATCATGTATTATTTTCAAGGACATAACACATATAATTGTAGCAATACGTATTGTGTTTTTATTCAGTGGCTCATTGTATTTATTTATATTACGTCAGATTTTAAATAAATATAAGATCAAAAAATAAAAATACATAAGAGAAACCTTGTGTTAAGTATTATATGACTTAATTTTGATCACATTATACATATTAAATTATTTGAACAGAATCGAACACAATTTTTCTCCTAGCCGAAATGAAGAATGCTACCATGAAGTTTTTAATGATAAAAATATTCATACCTACACCTCATCTTAAGTCTATATTTTATAATGCTAATAAATTCCAAAATATTGGTAAGACAGTTGATATCGACCTGTCACATTTTTAATTAGATAATTTTATATTTTGCAAGTTCGTTATTAACATTTTTATATATGGCTGAACGAGGGGGGTAGTAAATAAATATCTAAATATATATTGTTATACTTGATCCTCATCTATAGTCCATATTTTAAAGTGGTAATAATTTGAGTCAAATAATATAAATAATGGATCAAAATGTTACCCATCAGTTATTTTTTTTATTAAATAATATCTTATTTTATAAACTATTTAAATATATGTATGTTGCTATTAAATAAAAAAAAAATGTTTACACCTTTATATGAGATGAATTAAAAAAGTACTTAATAATTGATAAATCAAGAAATATATGAAACTAAAAAATACCGAAAGATTTTCTTAACATTATTATTATTTTAAGAGAAATAAAGTGACTAGCATTAAAAGAATAACTTATGTATTTGATATAATCTATTAATTTATATTAATTAATAAATATGTTTATTGAAAACTAGAATGGGGTACTGTGATGTTATGTTATAATATTATTATGTTTATATAAAATATACATAAACATAACAAAATATGTTATTATATAACCTCGAAATGCCTCGTATTGTGACTACATAGTACACGACCCCGTAAATAAATAATTTTGTTTGATACCACAAATTTCTCAGCTCCTATTAGACCAATTATGTCTAATGCTATGTGAAAAGATCACAAATCAAATCTAATTGAAGACATTACTTTCATTAAGTTTCGCGTAAATAAAAGGAATCTCCAAAAATGATGAGTTTTGAATTCGGCAATTTCTATATATTTTAAACTTTTGTTACTTAAAACTGCCATACATTTTTGAATGATGGATGAGCTAACACAATTTTTTTATAATTACTAGGTATTCAAATAGGACTACGCAAAATTGTAATAAAGCAACTTTTGTATAAAAAGATTTTTACAACTTAACGTTAAGAAATGTTTTGGAAATCCTGACCTATTAAATATATCTTAAATTAAAACTTATGTAATTTCTATTGAAAAAAAATATGACTGATGAACTTATCTTTGTGATGAAAACGGATAACATACAGGTGGCCCACCACTCACTGACAACTTAAATAACTTTTGATCCAGTTAATATTTTTAGTTGATTTTTTTTTTAAGTAATAGTTATACGTTAGGTCTATAGCTATATCTCAATAATTAATTTTTTTACATTTTATTAAAAATATTAATTATTTTTAAATTTTAAATAAAATGTAAAAAAAAAATCTAAGATAGCTATTTTGTAGAGTAGAATTTAAGAAAAATTTTAGTAAAAAAATATCTTATTAATATTCA